GTGTAATACTTACAGTTCGACATAGGCTTCCTGCTTTTTGTCAGTCATATCGCGCACATTGGGGAATTGGAGCTCGGGCTCGAAGGGCTTGAGCTTCTTCGGTTCCTTTGTACTTTCTTCTCGGAACTCGATAAGATCTGGGCATAGCTCGTGGAGAGGCTTGCCTCCCTTGCTAATAAGAGCAGCTTCTAGGGTCTCGAAATCAGAGACAAGGGTTTTAACAGCTAGATCTTTCTCCGCTTGACCATTCTCTTGCAGGCCCTGGTTGTTGGACTTGCGGCCCAAACGTTTCCCTGCCCTATTCTGATTTTTGGCGTCCCACACAAGGCTTTTGGTCGACCACCGTTGATATGTATTCTCAGTGAGATCAGACAAATAGTCTTTGTCGAAGCTGTATGTCTGCCAGCAACGCTGCTGTGACTCGTCTTCCGGATAAGCACGAAGCGCCTTGAGCTTATTCCGAACGCAGTCTAGCAAAGACATTCCGTCACCATTGCTTCCCAACTGGTAATCTTCATCCTGAGCCCTATAGGCTTCGGGTGTGAGAGTGTTGACGTCAGCTCCAAGTTCCAAGAGCTCGAGAGCAAGCAGTGGTAGATCCTGCTGGATTGCTAACATGATAGGCTGCGTCAGTCGGTGTCGGAATATTTCCTTCAGCCGATCATTTGATCTGTCTCGAAGCTGCTCGTAAGCCCCTTGACCAGGCTTCACAAACTGTTCGAATTGAATGAATGGGCTTGCCCCGGCCTGCAACAACTTTTGTGCCCCTTCACGATTCCTTGACGAGATTGACGCAATGAGCGGCGTCAAGATCTCGGGATACCAAGAAGAACCTCTGCATGTGAAGTAGTTAATTGCTTTCCGCGTTGCGGGGGCGCTGTAGCTCATAAAGACGTCCAGAAGGTTGTTGTACCAAGAGGCAACGACGTAAGTCAAAGGGGTGGTATTGTCCATATCAGCCTGTGTGGGTGATGCGCCCAGCTTCAGAAGTGCTTCGGTCATCGTGGCTGCCTCAGTGGGAAGTAGATTCAGTGTCAGAACCAGGTTCAAGATAGCGGCTTTGGGACTGTTGTCGTAATCATGCACCAGTTTCACCGGCAAAAGCACGTCTGCTCCGAAAGATGACACGAGCTCGTGGGCCACATCAGCATGGCCGTTGAGAATGGCCAGATGAAGTGCAGTTGTACGACTATCCCAGGATGCGGCATTTATGTCGTAAACATCAGGCTCATCTTCTGCGTCTTCAATCGGGAGAGGGTCGTCAATGTCCGTCTCAACATTCTTGTCCACCTTCACAAATGACCCGGTAGTAAAAGACTGTGCCTCCTCAGCGGGACTAGGATCATTCTCCTCATTTGCCTTAAGGCTATCTGCTTCGCCTTCATTTTGGTCACTTTTCGTAAGTAAAATACGGACCATATCCACCGACCCTCGTGCAGCAGCTAGGTGCAGGGCAGATCGGCCATCCGCCAGGCGAGACACCAGCCTTGCGCCATGATCGACGAGGCATTGTACAATTGCCGGTGTTGAGGACATGCAAGCTAAATGCAGCGGTGTCCGGCCCGTGCAATCGCGACTGTTCATACTTAGGGTGTCCGTTGAGACACATCCCCGCACCTTTTCCAAGTCGCAGTCAACGATCGCCTGGCAAAGTACTTCTGTGTGTCCCAGATAGGCCATATCTGTGTCAATCGTTAGTGCAGGCCTTGTGATAAGGAGACTTGCGTGCGCTTACCAGTCCACTCGGTCTCTGTAGTCGGATTAAAACTTCCGATCTCTTGGCGTCCAGGATCGTCCTTGATAAAGGAAACGTCTCCCGAAACATAAATCTTGCTTTCCTTTTCCGCGATCTCACAGTCCTCAGGCGACATTGGTATGGGACAACAACCACAACAATCTTGGATAACATCCTCCACATTCCCAAAGAAAGCAGGATGTCTGTGAAGGTGAACCTGTCTTTCTTTTTTCTTGTTCCATTCCGCGTTGAGTAACAGGTCCTGTGCGTAAATAAGTCGCTCAATTCTCTTAGCGTTGTATCTGGGCCCATATGGAAGTCTCTAATGCTAGAATATCAGCAGGTCAGCCCGTTGTAGAACGAATAAGAAGACGTACGAATGTTTCATATGAAGAGATATGGTCTTCGTTCTCCCACTCCGCAACTTCATCATCCCAGTCGCTCTTGAGATCACCACGCACGCCCTTCCGCCATGACCTGCTTTTGGGTGCCGGCCGACCACGCTCCTCTCGTCTTTGTTCAATGTAGAAGTCTCGGTCAGTTTGCTTAGGTAGTCTCTCTAAAACCAACAAGCGGGCCAAGCCAACTACCCTTGTGAAGCTTCGCTCGAATATAGTCTGTCCAAGGTCTTTAGCTTAGAGATAAGAAGGTTGCAAGGGCCTACTTACTGGATCGACTTGTGATCTGTCTAGCTCTGGCCAGAAGACTTCGAATCCACGACGAGAGTATTTGGAAAGGCGATTTTCATACGAGGGAGAGCGCCTTGTCAGATCAATAGTGTTAATCTGTGTGATATATGAAGCCAAAGCACGAGGCGAGACATAGACTTGCTTGCCGTCAAAGGCGGCGCAAGAACAGTCCACATCGAATCCAGTTAAAATCTCCGCTACTGAGTTGTAGATGCGCAGGACAATTTGAATGTGGCGGGTCGGATGCTGGGAGACGATTGTGATTGTGTTCTTGGTTCTCACCGTTGTCGCCTCGTAGAGAATGGTGTTCTTGATCCGGTCTTCGATCTGCTTAATTTTCTCCAGGGCCTGTTGCTCATTCAGCCCATACAAGAAGAGATCAACATCGGATGCGGGGGCTATCTTCTCATGGTAAAATTTGCGCAGCGAACGCTTCGAGTCATTGTATTTTTCTGGCACGGGAAGTAAGCAAGTCACAACCGCACTTCCTGCGACTACCACATTCGACCAGTCGAAATCACTCAACGCGCCCTCGGAAAAGATGGTGAAGTTCCTTTGGAATTCTTCCAACTTCGGAACCACCGCTGGAGAACCATTGGATCGGCGGTCTTGCTCTTTCAATGGTAGAATATACTTCTCTTTCTCTCGCGGGGTTTCCGAGTCAAGCTGACGTGCCCGGACGTGGATATTGGCTATGCCATTCTCGTCGTACAGTGGAACGACGTTCAAATGTGGATCTCTTAGAAGGGGATGAGACGGCTCCTGGGCGAACAACTTCCGTACCACCGCGTCATATTGATTGTACGGTTGCACAAGGTCATGTACCGAGGCAAGGGGCTGGCTTTGGACCCAACTGGGGAGATTCTGGTGCTTCACAGGTAGAGAAGGAAGTGTAAACATAGTCGCCATATTGGTGGCAAGCGAAGCAGAGAAGTGACGATGTGAAAGGAGTTGGTATGTCTTCAAGGGAAGCGAGTTGAAGACTTAAGTCTAAAGGAAGGAGACTTTCAACCAGGCGGGATGGAAGAAAGATGTAATTTTCAATGATCAACATCGAGGTGGGGGTGTCTTGCCGTGTTATAAAAGTCCAGAAGATCCATCATTGATCGGACAGACTACATTCCTAAAGCGGGCTAGTACAGGCTTCACTTCAGTGCCTGTAGGCAGAAATGTTCACCGCTCTGGCACAAGATCCAGGCACCGACACCTCGTTGCGCTTAGTCTAGGCAGAAGCTCGAAATATGCCTGAGGCATTAGGGACTAGGGCAGCCAGTCATGGCTCATGGCGCAAACGCGACGCTGAGTAGACTGTGACGTCATAACTTGATTCAGCCTTCAATACCAGCTGCCGATCGATTAAACTGGATCCGGTGTGAGTGCAAATCAGATCACCTCGTCCGGATCTCATTAACAAAGATTTGCGGAGTGATCTACATGAACATTTGCGCCACCTCTTCGGGCCTGGACTACATACACATGTATGTCGCGTACATGTGTACTGTACTTAGTAGGTACTCTACCGCGCACTACGAATTACTATGTACTCGGTAACGTGCCTTGAGAACGTAGAAGTGGAACTGGGTTAGATAATCTCAGATCTGCCGGTTTCATCGCAACTCATGATTGGCATTCGTGAAAGAGCTTCAGATCATACCTATAGGGGAAGCAAAAGAGGTAAATCAAGGCGGTCATAAAATGTTGCCACTGGCCCACATTTACGTTGCGAAGGCACCCGGGCATAGTACAAGAAAGCTGGTTTGTCATCTACGGTAAGTAGAGGTGGCTCCAACCATCTCCAGCCACCGGGGGGCGAATACGAGATCTTAGGCTTGTGGCTAGATACTGCAGAATCCTCGGAGGGTTGTCTGATTGTGTCCAAGGACCTTCATACTTTCTGCAAGTATAGATACACCCACCAAGGCCCCTACCTAGGTCTCCTCGTGCTTAATGCATCCGATCTCGGCCTGATCGACCATGTATCACCCTCGCTAAACCTATCCAGGGTTATTTCAAATGGACTAATATGTATGCAGGTTGCACTGAATATAAGTTTGGCTTGGAAAGTTGATAGATAACACAGCTTGGCGAAGATGAATTGATAGACATGCTACTGTTGCTAGCTTGCGTAGACATACGCAGTTTTACAGGTCTCGCGTTCTGATCCGTACCGAATTGAAATTACTGTGAAAACTGCACTGGGTTTCGTGTAAAGATAATAGAGATCTGTTCCGGCAAGACCCGCTACCAATTAATTAACATTATCATCTACTTGCTTGGTCTAGTAAACACTCTAGGGAGTACCAGTACTAGTAGTTCACAATGCGAAAGTGCCGAAGGTATCATAGTGAGTACTATCCGATCATAAAGCATGTCTTACGAGGTGATATTCTGATTCTTGAAAAGGAATCTTTGCTAACTGCATCCCTTGTATAGTTCCTGCAGAGACCAAAACTGTTAGGCCTCTATTACCAAGGCGTTCATCATGCTGTAAGCACTAAGCCTGTTTGACGGGGCTAACTAGCCAAGCAGTAAGTTAGCTGCGGGTAACTTAACTTTTGCTGCAGTTCACTGCTCACCACACCTCTTTCCTTTGTTTCTTTTCTCCACTATCCATTTTCTTCTTCCACCGACAGAGACTCGTTCTATAGTCCGCATTTCTACATCGCAAAGATATTGCTAGGTGCACAAAGAACAAATAATCCATGCTTCAGGAAGTCCAATTCCACCCTCTACAGCCTATTGGCGAAAACATCTACTTCTGCCAGTTTCCCGAGCTAACAAGCAGTGGCCCCGCCCTGATCACCCTCTGTACTCGGCTGGGAGACGCCACGCCTCCGCGGATCCAGAAATATATCTCAGGCTATCAGAACTTGTATCCGACCTCTGCGATTCTTCTGATCACGACGCGCATCCTAGAGATCGGTCTACTCCCTTTCAGCGTCCTGCACGCGCGGTTGGCCCCGGCCCGGGATGTTTTGCGGTGGTTCAACAGCAGCGGCGACCATAATGACAGCTATTCCATCCTCCTGCATATATTCTCTCATGGCGGATGCAATACCGCCATCCAATTAGCCCTCTCTCTCCAGATAGAGGATACGAGAGGTCATCCACCACTCGAATTAGGGAGATACCTGGGCGGGATCATCTTTGATTGCTGTCCGGGTGATACCTCCTTCGGGCGCGCGTACCAGGCCGCAGCGCACTCTTTACCGCCGCGCTCAGTGCTGGCGCAAGCGGTCGGCAGAGTACTGCTTTATCCGGTGATTGGTGTTATTACTGGACTCCAGCAGACGGAATGGATGAGCTCGATTCGGGGCCTGCGACGGCAATTGAATGACCCAGCAGTTTTAAAAAAGACGGCTCCCAGGCTGTATTTGTATGCAACAGCGGATCAAATGGTTCGATAGGAGGATGTGGAGTCGCACCAGAGAGAGGCGGCTGCCGACTTGAAGAAGTGTTGTACAGTGAAACAGATTGCTTTTCCAGATAGCCCACACTGCGCCTTGGTGAGAGATCATTCTGATCGTTATTGGGCTAAAATTGAAGTGTTTTGGGAGGAAAGAGCGACGACAGGAGGTTCTGTGGTGCCTCCGGACTTGCCATTAAGTCATAAGCCTCGGAGTCGACTTTGATGATGTTGACGGTCAGAAACCGGACCGTGGAATCGGACTGGTCATGATTCTCAGTTCCGCGAAGGGAGCTGCAAGCTATGCTGGAAGTAGCATGCCCCCAAAATCAAATTGAAGCCATAGGCCATTCAATGACTGGTCATCTGGGGGACTCATTCGCTGAGGGAGTTGGTCAATGACAAGATTGTGCGGGCGGGTCTGCTCAGCCTTGTAGTGGAGCCGTCGGAGGAAGGCCTTGAAGTCCGCGCCGTCTCCTACTGTCCGACCATGCACCCTCCGCACAGCCGCATTTTTCCACCGCGTTTTTCCACCGCGTTTTTCCACACCAAAGTGTATGCCAAGCATATCCTGAAGTTACTTACAATCATTATTCAGTGTGACAATTACCGGCGAAGCCCACTAGGTATAGATATCTTATCGCTCCAAATATACATTTTGAAGAAGAAGGGAAATCGACTTTCAGACGATTCATCCTACACCCAGGAAGATAGCCGAAATGGCTATTGTATAAATATTGGAACTAAGGTTCGGTTTAGCTAAGTGGTGGTGGACAGCCGTGGATACTCGACCTATCCAGCCTCAGATATACGATATGTATGACGGTTTCAGCATGAACGCTAACTACAAGCCTACTTCCTGTTCACAAATGCTGAGAGCTACAATATATCCAGCTGAGCGACCTTATGATCGGCCTTAATGATCATGGATCTGGAGTACGGGGCCCGCCAGCGGTGGCCGGCCTTGCGAGGCCCACATTTCCCGCCCCATCGGTTCCAACGGAAAGCCGAGAGCCGAGCCTCCTGGTCTCTCCGACCGCTTGTGACTCTTTCCAGTCAGGTGATGGGTGAGCCTTGCTGTTTTCGCCAAGCAATGCGCACTGGTATAAAGAGTCATCGACTTTCCATTTGGTATGAACACCTCATTTGAACAGACAAGCAAGGCAGAAAATGCACGAAACTGAAGTCCTCATCGTTGGCGCAGGTCCCACCGGCCTGGTCACGGCTCTGTGGCTTTCGCGCCAAGGCATCAAGGTCCGCATCACCGACCGAACGGAACGCACCGCCACAACCTCCCGCGCGCTGGCAGTCCATGCTCGGACTCTCGAGCTGTATCGACAATTGGACCTCGGAGATCGGCTGGTGGCACTGGGCCATCCGCTAGGGGCAACGAACATTTGGACACAGGGGGTGCATCGGTTTCGCATCCCCTTCGGTCACTTCGGAATGGGGTTGACGCCGTATCCGTATATCTTGATCGTTCCTCAGGATGCGCAAGAGAAAATGCTGGAAGAGCGATTGAAAGACTTCGGGGTGGAGGTGGAACGGAACATGGAGTTGGTGGATTTCGCGGAGAACGATGGCGGGGTGGTGGCGCGGTTCAGGGACGCGAGAACACGGAATCCTTCGCTGGAGTCGAGCGAAGTAGCAGATGACCTCCAGAAGTGGGAAGCCACGTACATCATCGGGTGCGATGGCGCTCATTCCGCGGTCAGGCACACGGCAGGGATAAAGTTCACCGGCGAGACGTATGGTCAAATATTCTTTGTCGCCGATATCGAGGGCCAAGGGCCTGCCATCAACGGCGAAGGACACCTCCAACTCGACGGCGATGTCACCTTCCTCACTCTTGCCTATGACTCAAAGCGACATGCCCGACTGATAGGCAATGTGGATGGGAAGCAGCTAGCTCACATCCAAGCCAAGGAGGACATTTCAAAGGTTAATTTCGAGGACCTGGCCCTCGCCACACCAGCTATGCGCCAGATGATGGAAATTGACAAGGTGAACTGGTTCACAGCGTATCGAGTTCATCACCGCGTGGCCGACAAGTTCCGGAGCGGTCGCGCGTTTCTCGTTGGGGACGCTGCCCACATTCATAGTCCAGTCGGAGGACAGGGGATGAACACAGGCATTGGTGATGCGATCAATCTCGCTTGGAAGCTGGCTACAGTGTTGCAGCGAAAGGCGGATGCATCCCTGTTAGATACCTACGAGTCGGAGCGACGAGCCTTTGCGCTGACTCTCGTCGAGACGACTGATTCGGCCTTCAACAAACTGGCCGCCAGAGGCTGGCTGGCCAATTTCATGCGCAGCTACCTCATTCCGTTCGTCGTGAAGCTTGCCGTCAAGTTTGGGTTTGTTCGTCGACGAATATTCTTTGGCCTGTCGCAGCTCAAAATACAGTATCAACACAGCCTACTGTCTGCCGGGTCTGCCGGTGCTGTCAAGGGTGGAGATCGGCTACCATGGGTGTCAGTAGGTGAAGACGACAACTATGAATCTCTCAAGGAAATCACTTGGCAAGTCCATTTGTACGGCGAGCCTTCGACTGAGCTGGCGAAATGGTGCCAGCTGAGAAACATTCCGTTGCACTGCTTTGGTTGGTCCTCTGAGCATAGGCAAGCAGGATTGGCACGCAATGCAGCATATCTGATCCGGCCCGACACATATGTGGCTGTGGCTGAGGCCTCAGGTAAACCCGAGCGATTTGATTGTTTTTTGCACGATATCCAGCTCGAAGTTTCATAGCTTTCTCTTTACCACGCTGCCTAATGCCTAATGTCCAAACATCTCAACTCCACGAAGAATAGACTATATATCAGTCTCTTTGCCAACCACATTAGGATTAATTGAAGTCTAGCTAACTCTGCACCTCCCAAGGCCTAAGTAATGGATATGTGCATAAAAGGGTCCACTAAGCGCATCTTCTGAGCGTCATGACTGAGTGAACAACTACAGAAGCCACAATTCAGTGGGCTACGCTGTGGTAGCTGTTCAACCCATAACCTGGAAAGAGCGTCTCTCAGAGGCACCATCTGAGATCCGACCGTATATTTTACATTCCATTTTAACTAATATGAAGGTGCCTGCCTGAAGCGACCTGATGGTTTAGAGCAGCTTTACTGTCAATTTTTTCATGGCATTTGTCTAGATTCTTCGGGCTAAAGCTTAGACGTGAAGCCAGCGAGGGCGATGGGCCGAGATCAGTTGTTCGGATGGGATACACCTGCTTGAGTTGGCTACCTAGTCTGTCCATCGTGTGACAAAGGGACCCGGATGAGTGGAAACAACCTGTGGACAGAATGATTTGACCTCATTCCTGGAAGACCCTACCCAGCAGAGACTAGTGCTTCAAATTCCATCTCATTTGGCACAAAAGACAAAGCCCGACTTTACAGGTGCGAAGGATCGATGATGCTCCGGTAAGATATTCTTTCATGTAGGTCGTGGCGCCGCAGCGGTCGTTGAGTTACGCCATATTTATCCTTCGAAGTCCAGGTGTTTCGACACATGGCGATTTCAGCTTTCGGAAACCGAGCAGATTCTCGAACTGCCTGCTTAAAGAGAATCCCTGCACTGCAGTTAAACAAACTCATATACAGTCTGTGAAGGGTTGGTATTGCAAATTTGTATCTTAAGTTTAGTGTACTGTACACAGAACCGCCGCGACGCGCAACGTGCATACCCGACTCACCTCAAGACAACCTTAAATATGAACTCATGATGGATGAAAGCAACGAGCACAGCCACGTGTACTTACAACCTTCAAAGAGATAAAGAAAGCGCAGGCGTGGTAGATCCGGGCCTAAATCTGGTAAGCGAAATCTGAGTGTAATGTAACGGGCGCGTACCAGAGAACAATAGAGCCGATCCAGAAACAATACACCTCGACTATTGTGTGCACTCGCATGCCTATTATTCTCCCACCCCACAGTTCTTCCCTAGCCAATGCCCTGAAACTTATTTGCTCACAGGGAAGTTTAAGAGAAATCAAATAAAATACAGAAAGACCTCACCGTCCAGAGCGCGTCCTCCAACACAGAACACGGGATATTCAATCTCAACAACAGGAGCTACATCAATCACGCAACGATGACCGAAATTGTAGAATTCAGAGCTCGCGAGCTTCCTATCCGCCAGCAGGGATGTTGCAAGCCTTCAATCCCCGAGAAAGCAAAGCCCGTGGTCGTGGACAAAGAAACCACCCCTGCTGAGGCTGTGACAACACGACCGAGATTCTGCATCGAGGATCATCCCGGTGACCGGCCACGTGGGATTCGCGTGGGAATTGTCGGGGCCGGACTATCGGGGATCACAGCAGGGATCTTACTCCCTGCCAAAGTGCCAGGGATTGATCTGACCATCCTGGAGAAGAATGCTGACGTCGTAGGCGGCCCCTCTGCCATCTTTTCGTTGGATTTGTGTGAGAGCAACTAATCCTAACATGGGCGTCTAGGGCGGTGCATGGTATGTTGCCACCGCTATTACAACTTCTATTTCTATCGTTTCCATTTTCACTTCTCTGTTGTACAGGTTCGAGAATACCTACCCTGGTGTGCGGTGTGATGTGCCCGCCCACGTCTACCAGTCCGGCTTCGCGCCGAATACTCAGTGGAAAGAGGAGTTCGCACAAGGACCAGAGATTCGCGAGTACTGGCAGGGCCTTGCCCGTCGGTTCGATGTGTACAAGTACTTGCGTCTGCAGCGCAAAGTCCTCCGAGCGGAATGGCAGCTGGACGAAGCCAAATGGAAAGTCACCATCCAAGATCTTCGAGACAACAAGGTGACGACCCGTACCTGATCCGATAATCTAAATTAACTCCTGCTAACAAGAGAGAAGATATATGAAGAGACCTTCGACATCTTCATCACCGCCATCGGGTACTTCAACACGTGGCGCATCCCCAATTTCAAAGGCATAGGTCAATTCCAAGGCGCCATATTCCACTCATCCAACTGGGACCACAGTGTCCCGCTCGAAGGTAAACAAATCGCTCTCATCGGTAACGGTGCATCAGGCATTCAAATTCTACCCGAAATCCAACCCATCGCCTGTAAAATCGATCACTACGCCCGTAGCCGCACCTGGATCGTCCATCCGCCCAACGTCGACGGGGACTGGCAACGGGCGTCTCTCGCAGCCGACAAGTTGGAGTCCTTCCGCGACCCGCAGACCTACCTGCAGTACCGCAAGGAGAAAGAGGCGGAGTTCTTCCGCGGGTTCGCCACCTGCTTCCTGGGCTCGCCTGAGAACGACTTCCTGCGGCAGATGTGGACGACCTCGATGCTGGCACGCGTCGAGCACAACGAGGCCCTCCTCAGCGACCTGATCCCGGACTTCCCGCCTTGCTGTCGTCGTCCCACCCCGGGACCGGGGTATCTGGAAGCGTTGATCCAGCCGAATGTGGAGCTCATTCGCTCGGGAATCGACCGCCTGACGCGGGATGGGATCCAGACGGTGGACGGGGTGGAAAGGCCCGCGGATGTCGTAATCTGCGCGACGGGCGCCAACTCCGATCTTGTGCCGCCATTCCCAGTCGTGGCCTTCGGGGTGGATCTCTGCGAAGCCTGGGCATCGGACGGGATTTACGGGTTCCCGTACACGTACCTCGGGACAGCGACGCCCGGGTTCCCCAATGCGCTCTGGTTAGGCGGGGCCCACGTGGTCGGTCCCAGCGGGACAATCCCCAACTGCGTGGAGAACCAGATCACCTATATCGCGAAGATGATTCGCAAGGTCCGCGGCCAGGGGATCCGCACGTTTGTGCCGGCCAAAGCCGCGGCGGATGATTTCTTCGAATATTGCCATGCGTTCTTCCCACGGACGGTGTGGACAGGAAACGATGACTCGACGCCGGGGAAGGCAAACTGTCGGTCGTGGATGAACGGGGGACGGCCGAATGGGTTCGTCCATGGCCTTTTTCCAGGAAGTGCCAGTCTGGCAAACTTTGTTCGGCGGGATCCGCGGTGGGAGGACTGGGAGTATACGTATACGAACCCGAGCGGGAACAGATTCGCCTTCCTGGGCAACGGGTGGACAACACGAGAGATGCAGCCTGATGCGGACTTGACACCTCACCTGAAACAGCCGGACCATATTGATTTGAGATCTTACTTGGAAGGGTGGTGGGATGTCTAGCGACTAGGTAGAATGCTGTTTCCTATCTGATTGACTAGAATGTCAGTGACTAGATTATTTGTTTTGGATGGAATGATTTATAAATGCTAGATTACAGCCGATCTACATGCTAGACCAAATCGCCACAGTCGCGAGCAAGTGTAATAACGAAACAGCCGTCACTCGTTGTATCATCTTCAAGACACTCAATATATGTACACATGCCGTTGTCAGGCTACCTTCCGGGCAATCAAGGCTTGGTGGAAGGAAAGTTGCCCGTCCCGAGAATATCCCCATCGTCCTCCGACCCGTTCATCGCGCGATCGATGCGGAACTGAGACGTCTTGAACAGCCGGGGCATGCACGTGTCCTCGAAGGAAATCTTCTGCACCACCATCCGGGCCAACTCCTGCGCCGAGCGCCAGATGACCGGCATGCCGTGGCCATTGAACCCGGCCAGAATGAACTGGCCCTCCTTGCCGGGCACGGCACCGATATGCGGGTTGGAATCATACGAGTACCCCATGACGCCTGTCCATATCTGGTCGACTTTCGCCCCGGTGTTCTCCCACCCCCGGTACGTGCGTTGCATGTAGCCGTCGTAGTAGTCCTTGGCGGCGTCGATGAGCTCGCTGTCGTCGACGTTGTTGTACCATTGCTCCTTGAAGGGCCGGAACTTGGACGAGGCCCCGCCGACGACGATGCTCCCATCGGCACGGGGGATCAGGTAGGAGAGGGTGTTGTCCTCGGTGCGGTTGATGTAGGAGTTGTTCAGAAGCGGGGCGGTCGTGCCCGCGGGCACGGTGATGCGGCAGCAGATCCCCTTGCACGGGACGATGTTCTTGGCGTATTCTGGCAGCAGGCCTGCGACGTAGGCGTTGTTGGCGTGGATGACGGTGGCGGCGTGCAGGCTGCCGCGCGGGGTCTGGACGGTGAAGCCGCCGTGGGGTGCGGGGGTGATGGACTGGGCTGGGGTAAACGTCTGCAGGTTCACCTTGCCCGACGCTAGAGCCGATTTGAGGAGGTGGAGGATGAATTTGTATGGCCACATCGTTCCCGCGGTGAACGAGGCGCAGGCTTTGGCGCCCTTGACCCCGCAAATCTGCGCTGGGTGATTAGTACGTCTGCTTGAGTTGAGGGATGGGGAGAGCTTTTGGTTGGAGGCACTCACCCCCTCGACATCCTTGCCGGTGTAAAAGACCACGTCATTCATATAATCCAGATCCAGCGACTTCATGCGATCATACACCTCTTTGGCCTTCTGGGCCGCCTCCTCGTTGCACCAGACGTCGATGGAGCGCGTCAGAGTGAAATCGCAGTCAATCTGCTCCTCCTCAATCAACTTCTTCATCGCGTGGAGGTGGGAGATCTCGAACTCCGCGATCTCTGCGCCCGCGCGGACGCCCGCGCGATCGATGTACGTCGGAATGTGGCCGTAGAAGTCCGGACGAAGGTGTCCTCCATTGCGGCCAGTCGCGCCGGAGCAGGCCCCTCGCGCTTCCAGAATGGTGATTGATTTGATGGCGTCTCCATGGTCGCGAAGCAAGTGGTACGCGGTGCTCGTGCCAGCGTACCCGGCGCCAATGATCACCACCTCCGACTGCTCGGGTAGTTGTTCGGTGGACCGGAAGTTGTGTATTTCATGGGGTTGATTCTGCCAGAAACACTCCCCTGGATTGGGGCCTGGAAAGCAAGTGGAAGTTGTCATGTTTAGGAGAAAGCTTGGGGGTGTAGATCGATGGGTGTAGAGTTGTGGTGGTGAAGGTTATCGCGCGCCCCGTGCATCCTTTTTAAGGAGTCGGCGATAACAGCCGAGGCTTATCGTTGTATCGTTTATCGTATGTATTGCTTGGTGGGCAGGTGGGCTTATCGCGTCGATTATCTTATCGGTCGCTGGTCGCTCCTTCTCACGCACGCACACACAGACGGCGGGCCGTCCCGAATAGGTAATTGGAGCCGGTTCTAATCATCCGATAAGCTCCTAGCAAACACAAACCACAACAACAGCGGTCACGGATAGTCGATCCTCACCATGCTAGCTAGCTTCATGTTGATGGACCAACAAGAGAACTTCGATTTGCAATGCGGGGTATTGGGCATCCATGTGCACAATACAAAATGGCGCCACTCTTGCTCTCTCGTTTCTGTGAATCATGGCCTCCATTCCTCTCACGCAATCTTCTGTCGCCATGGATGTTTCCGCCCCCTCGGAGAAGAAGCCGCCTTACCAACAGACCAACGAAAAGTATGATGGGGACCTTGAGGCCACCGCGCCCGGCCACCTCGATGAAGCCCGTGATTTTCATCAGGGGCTGCACCAGCGTCACATTCAGATGATTGCCCTGGCCGGGACGATAGGCACTGGGTTGTTTTTGAGTTCCGGACGGGCAATTGCCCATGCAGGGCCGCTGGGAGCTTTTCTGGCATACACGATTATCGGTGGGGCGGTGTTCAGTGTGGTGGCGGCGGTGGGAGAGATGGGCAGTCTCGTTCCGCTCCAGGGTGGAGTCATTCGCTATGCTGAGTTGTTCGTGGACCCAGCCCTCTCCTTCGCCAATGGGTGGAACCAAGTCTATTCCTATCTTGTCTCCATTCCATCCGAGATTGTTGCGGCCGCCGTGGTCATCGAATTCTGGACCACCATCAACAATGCTGTCTGGATCACCGTATTTGGTCTTCTCATGTTGCTCACGGCCTTGGTGTTCGTGCGCGTCTATGGCGAGCTTGAATTCGGCTTCTCCATCCTCAAGATCATGCTGGTCATTGGCATCAATCTCATGGCGCTGGTGATCACCTGTGGTGGAGGCCCCAATCGGACCAGCATTGGATTTCGCTATTGGCGCGACCCGGGCCCGTTTGTGCAATACCTTGGCATTGGAGGCTCCCTGGGACGTTTCCTGGGTTTCTGGACAGCACTGAACAGTGCTCTGTACTCCTACAGTGGAATTGAAAATATCACCGTCGCAGCTGCGGAAACACGTTCTCCCCGTCATGCCATCCCTATGGCCGCTCGTCGCATCTTTGTCCGGATCCTACTCTTCTACGTCTTGACCATCTTCATGATCGGGCTTGTCGTTCCTTCCGACGATCCCAATCTTCTGGGGTCCTCGGGAACTGCTTCTGAGTCCCCGTTCGTTATCGCAGCTCGGAACGCCGGAATCAAAGTCGTGCCATCCATTATCAATGCTGTGGTACTTACCTCCGCCTGGTCCGCCGGCAACTCGAACATGCTGGGCGGTTCGCGCATCATGTATGCGATGGCAGCCGAAGGTCACGCACCCCAGTGCTTCAAGCGCATCAATCGTTTCGGCATTCCGTACGTGGCTGTGACAATTCTGGGAGTCTTCATGGCGTTGGGCTACATGACGCTGTCGAGTTCGGCTAGTACCGTCTTCACCTGGCTACAGGATATCGTATCGATTTCCACCCTGGTCAATTGGGGATGTATCTGCATTGTGTACCTGCGCTTTCTCTATGCATGCAAGAAACAGGGCATTGATCGACACAAAGAGCTGCCCTGGGCTGCCCCTTTTCAACCATGGGGTACCTGGTTCGCGCTGGGACTTTTCAGCGTCCTATTCCTGACTGGTGGGTATCAGACCTTCATCCACCGTCAGTGGTCCACGGAGACATTCATTTCTTCATACTTGAATGTCCCCATTATCTTTGCCCTGTATTTCGGCTACAAGTTTTGGGCCAAGAGCAAGATCATCGGGTTGGAGGATGTGCCCATTCGGCCGTTCATCGAGCGTTACCAAGCCAACCCCGATCCTGAGCCGGAACCGAAGCGCGGGCTCAGGCGGTTGAACTTTCTCTGGGGATGATGCCACTTGCTTTGGTGTGATTTGATCGAGTATAGCATGTCTGTAATCTAGCGACTTATCTGGCGTGTTTGTTTGCATAACTGTCATAATCAATCTTGTATTATTTCTGTGATAACTGGACCTGCCGTGCCTCGCCACTGTACCATTTACTTTCTCCTCTTGATTGCCGAAAAGGGCAATACTGAAGTAGCAGTAATAGAAGAAGTGTTATCTAGCACCAAATGTGTCAAGCATAGACAATACAAGATAAGCCATCGATTACCCCTGAGCTTATCAAGATTATCGAGTGCTCCGCATATCCACCCACCCCATATCTCATATCGGGGTCAATATACGACCGTGGGGGCCATGTCGACTAACGCTCCCTAAGCAAACTAGCTGCATGCGACAGATTGCCCGGCCGTCTATCATGCGCGACTAGATTTCCCCGCACGGCCGTTGGCCCGGTATCGGCTCGCGATAAGACCGAAAAGCAACTCCGACCTCATCTGTACCCCTCTTGAAGTTCCCCCCTCCTCGACCATCACCGCCACCACCGAACAGCTTCACTTCCAATCTTCCCCAGCCCACCCACATACCACCACACCACCACGCAAAAATGACCAGCAAAAACGTCGTCTTCGACGTAGTCGGCACCTGCGTCTCTTTCAGCGCCTTCTACGAGACCATCCAACAAACCCTCGGCCCGCAACTGGCCGCCCACAACCTCACGGCCCAAACCTTGGGCTTCACGTGGATGACCAACGCGGAGCTGCAGTTCACCTTCTTGTCGATCTCGGAGAGCTACAAGCCCTACAAGCTGGTGCTCACGGAGCTCTTCTACCAAACGCTCTTCATGATCGGCGTCGCCAACCCGACGGCCTTCGCCACCGCGGCCCAGCGCGACGCCTGCGTCGAGGGGTACAGCGCGCTCGCCCTCCGTCCCGGCCTCGCCAAGTGCTTCGCCACGCTCCGCGCCGCGGGTTTTACCGTGTGGTGCCTCACGACGGGGGACACGCAGCGCGTGCGCGGGTACTTCCTGCGCGGCGGGGTCGACATGCCCGCCGAGAACTTTCTGAGCTGCGATACGGCCGGCGTGGCGAAGCCGGCGCTCAAGGCGTATCGGCCGGCGCTGGAGGCGTTGGGGTATGCTGAGGGGGAAGACAAGCCGTGGTTCGCGGCGGCGCATCTGTGGGATGTCGCGGCGGCGACCAAGGCCGGTTTCCGCGGCGCATACTGTACGGTCTACGAGGGGGAGCCGTGCTATCGCGTCTTTGAGGCTGGGTTGGATGTTACGGCGGATGATCTGGTCGGGATGGCGGAAGGGATTGTTCGGGCGACGGAGGGGAGGGCTGAGTAAGGGGTCTAGTTGTTGGTCGGGGAGGGTTGGGTGTAGGGGTTCATAGATTTTAGAGTTTATAAAGCTTGTGTTGTTTTGTGCGCTTGCAAGGGAGATTACGCAGAGTTCGACGATACTAGCTATCGGTATATTCAATCACTGGGTTTGTTATGATATGAGACTGCTCGAGGCCCGATAAGGCTTGTTGATCCCGCCTGGCGGTGTAGCGCCCGTGGTGATCTGCGGCAGATAACATCCACGTGACTAGGAAAGCAATGACATAATCCAGGGGTCTGACAATTTTCGACCGTATAATCGGTGTTTCAGCTTCAGCGTCAGGCTCCAGTGCACCAGCACTGCATGGCAAGCAGCTTCATAATTCTGTCAATCCGCTCAACGCAGTCTTCATGCCTACACACAGACCCATAACTGGAACCTCTGTTACTCAGCATCCCAGATCATGGATGAAGACGCCACGCTCACCCATCGCATGGTGAGCGTGGGCTACGATGGCCGAGACGAGAAGGCACACGTGATCACTGCCTGCAAGGGTCGCCGATGCGTCGTGCGGATCTCCGGGGACTATTCTACAAGTCACCGATCACGCTGGAGACGTACAGGGAAGTGACACAGACAATGTTCGATGCAAATGAGGACCGCGTCACGTGTGACCACGCGACGGACCAGCTGTACCGATGGGCGCTGCGCCCCTTCGAGGACTGGATGAAGCGGCTGGAGCAGCCCACGTACGCGGGCCCCTTTCCGACGCTGGCGCACTACCTGGACCCGCCGGAGCACCGGTGGAAGCTGTACGTGGTCGAGGAGGCGCCCGAGCCGTTCCTGGACTACGACGTGCCGCCGCGGCGGGATCAGCAATTGGGCGTGTGGCTGCCGCGCTACGAGCTGCATCCGGACTGGCGGCTATTCAAGCCGGAAGAGATTCTGGCTTCCCCGGCGGACGATGACGAGGAAGAGCTTGCAAAGCTCCCCACGACGGTCTGGCCGCGCAGCAGCACCGTGGCTGGCGATATGCCCATGTGCTACTTCAAGCCCCTGCAGCGCTGGCGGTGGCAGCACGCCGTACGCGAGATGGAGACGTATAAGGCCTTGCACGAGGTGGAGGACTTCGACGACTTGCGCGTGCCGCGGGTCTGTGGCGTGGTGACGGGGGACAGAAAGGGCTCGTACGTCGGGCTGCTGATCTCGTATGTGGAGCACGCGGGGACGTTGGAATCGCTCGTTGGGCCGGAGATGCCGCTAGACTATCGGCGGGACTTTTTGGTCCAGCTGACCCAGACGCTGGATCTTCTGCACGAGCTGGGGTTGACGTGGGGCGATGCGCGCCCGTCAAATGTATTGATCGATCTTAACGATGGCGCGTGGGTTGTGGACTTTGGCGGCGCGCATGACGAACCGCCTATTGGCGATTGGGTCAGCAAAAGACATTTGCATACGCCGTTGGGAGACCGCGAAGGCTTGTACAATATTACGCGCATGTTGATGGCAGGTATAGTAGATATGCCGTCCTTGCCGTTGGATGACGATGCAACCACCGATGAAGAAGTGGATGAAAATGATGATGATGATGATGATGATGATGATGATGATGATGATGATGATGATGATGATGAGGATGACGAGGATGAGGAAGAAGGACTGGACGAATTGGAGGAAGTGAGGAAGTCTGAAGACCTAGAACAACTAGATGGATTGGCAAAATTCGATGAATTGGCAAACGACGACCATTTAATAGCATGTGACCCTCACCCGGGACTTGATAACATCCGGCCCGGATACCTTCTTCTTTCTATCTTAACTTGCTTTTCGGTTAACATGTACATACCATTTCGCATTTACCATTAGATACCCCTCAAGCCAATTCACATGCGAAGTTTCTACACATCAGCTCTGTGGAGCAGCATCTCGAAGTACAGTATCCTCGGCGGAAAGACCACACCACCTCCAGCAAGCATCCCACAGCTTTTCCCCTGTGTCTGAATCCATACTAACAGCCGCAGGGATGTCTTCTTTTCGACCTATATAGTAGCCCCTCGTTCCTTGGAAAGACGGGTCAAGACTCAAGGCAACTAAATCACGCCCAGCGTCTTCAGTGGTCCGAAATATCGTGGTAACGTGTTTTAGAACAGGCATGAGGAAGTTGATCACCGCGAAAATCATTCGAGTGGACTTTTTCTGCTGACCCTGTGATCTCGCGCTTGGTAGACCACCCGGGTCCATCGCTATCGCCGTGATGCTTGATAACCTATCATCCTGTCAAAAGTTAGCCAAATCCTATTCTGCACCTCTGGTGACAGTCAACATACTCTCTTCAAACGTCGATTGAGATCATTCGCCAACGTGACATTCGCCAACTTGGCCGTGGCATATCGCTGGAAGCCCCTATCATGTACAAGGGCAGGGGGATCTGGTCCCGGTCTGAGCAACTCCTCCATATTAGCTGGAAACCGTGGTCGAAGCGAACACAACGGGTTTGATTTCTCTGGGTAGTGCGTGATGGAGCCTAGCATGACAATGCGGCCGGATGTGACGTCCATGCTTCCGAGAAGCTTCAGGATCAACAAGTAGTGCGCGAGGTGGCACACCTGGAAGGTGGCTTCGTAGCCATCGGCCGTGAACTTCTGTCCTCCTTCAAAGCAAAGCGAGGCCGCGTTGCAGACGATGGCTGAAATGCGAGGGAGTGCTTCCGAGGAAATCAGACGAGAGAGCTTGTCCGCAAAGGAGCGCACGTTGGCCAGCTTGCCCAGGTCGAGGCTCTCGAGATGGACTTTTGCATTTGGGAACCTTGCCACTAGTGCTAGAAGCTTTGCGGTATTGAGATCCTCTTCCGGAGATGGGTTGCGGACAGTTGCAATCAATGTATTTTGAGGGTGAGATTCTAAGAGGGCTTGGACAAAGCCCAGGGCTAGAGAGCCGTTGGCGCCGGTGAGGACCACTGTTTCTTCCATGGCTGCACTTTCGAAATAACTGAGGAAGGTAAAGATCTCAAATCGAGGTAACTATGGCATTGCTGGCTCTTTTTATACCTCCCAACCTTGAATTGCCCACCGTCTGTGCACTCTCCAGAGTTCGCACGACAATACCTTATGGTACCTGGTAGTCATTACTAGTCTACAAGTAGTAGGCGCCTGCCTTGGCGATGAGATCACGGTGGCTGCAGGCATCACTCGGTTGACTCATGCGATGAGGCTATGTCAAAATCTTCAGGGTTCCAGAAAAAAGCATTCCAGAAGGAGTCTACGAAGGAAGCCGGACTTAGCATCCATGATAAATTCCGTAACCAACTACCAGTCGGGCGCTAGGCTACTCTGAGCAGGCGCAGGCCTTGGCATGGCTTGACAAGACCGAGATGCTTTGTCAGCCGTCCCAAGACATCCAGCTCCTGCTTGAACTTCAAGGAGTTACCCAACTCCTTATCCTCCCCTGTGCTGGAGTGAGAAATTTTGCCCTTGCCCAACATGGCGCCCAGAGAAGTACCATTCATCATCAGTACATTCCACCCGACAAAGGCGACCGAGTCGCAGCGGAGAATCGCCTTGTCGCACGCCGCTCGCTCAGCGCATGCCAAGGCCAGGCGCCTGCGGACGCTTCAATACCAGGCACAAAAGAAACAAGAATACCATGCAAGCCTCTCACGAGAGACTCAAGGCCTTCCGATCACTGCACTGGACACATTCCTGCCAGCAGGGAGGACAGACCCGTTCATCAGTTTCGCAAGGGTCTTAGACCCCACCGAGCAATTTCTCTTCGATCACTGTATGTGTCCAGTCGCGGAGTTCTATATCTCTCTTTGCTGACCCTGAATGCGCGCGATTTACAGACGTCAAAGTGGTTATACCTCTAATGCGCTGCAACGAGACGCAGGTGCTCTTCTCGCAGCGCATGAACAGTCTCTGGGTCCCTGTCGCGATCACCGAATCCAGTCTTCTCGACATTGTGCTTCTTGCTTCGAGTCGACATTTGTCGTGTTGTTACCCGCAACAGCAGCAGGAGAAGCAACGTTTCTTCACGCAATTGACACTCCAGTACAAGTCCCAAAGTCTGCAGTCACTGAGACGCGCTATCTCGGCCGAGGTGCCGGCTTTGGATGATACGACGGTCGCAAAGGCAATCATGCTCGCTTATGACGAGGCACGTCCCGTTGGTGACTGGTGTAGATAACAGGCTAATCGTCAATAGTTATATGTTCGCGATGCCACTATGCTGAAGCATCATATCGACGGGGCTGTCAAGATTGTCGCTCTGAAAGGTGGACCCCAGACCTTGGGCTTGGAGGGACTTCTCGAGCACTTCCTTTCTAATCTCATTGCCAAAATGAGAGGTGACTTAGGGGTTCATGTCATGACTCCCTGGGATGTGTGCTGAAATTTACCTTGTTTGGTCTGGGTTTGACGTGCTACGGCCGTTGCACTTTCATTGAGCTAGACTATGGACGAATATCTCGATTGAGCAAGCCTGATCCGGTGCCAACGATTTCGAACTCGCATTCTTCATAACCCCTGCCACTCTCGTGGATTCCTACAGATCTTGCTTGAGCCTCCGGCAATGATCACCATCCTCCCTGGTGACCGCCCCGATTCTGTCAGACCGCTTTCGAAGGGGCAGGCGGTCGCCATTATGGACGCAAGGCAATGGAACAAAGTTGATTCCATGACCGAGAGATGGCCCGCAGTTAGCCGCGGCTTTTGTTAAGTTAGGTGCGATGACGTACCCAGTCATCGCCCGCGGCCTTCCGCCCAATTTCCGACCAGGACGAAAACCGATACTCTGGGCATTCCACCCCCTACATAGTGGTAGCCAAGAAGTGCGACGTGAGTTTCTATCGTTGGGGACGGTCTCACACTGCTCGAATATTGTCCGACCGCCACCTATGTTTTCAGGTTAAGTGTTCTGTTGTACAATCTAGAAGCGAGACTTTTTGATACGAAAGACCGTCCATCAACTCACGAGTGACACAAGAATCAAGCGATATAAGAATCCATGAACAGATACTTTATCGTATCATCTCAGAAGCGGAAAGAAAAATTCAATGATAAATTAGTCACAGTCGCCTATACTTTAAACATACTGCTCAAAGTCTTTCGATATATATACATCTTTCCAGGGTTTCCCCTCTCAAAGTCTGACTCCGCATCACTAAATCAAGCAGCCTTGACCTTCAGGTAGGCAGCCATGTACTCGGAGCTGTGAGCTCCGTACCAGTAGACGGTCTTCTCCTCGACATCGCCGTACCCATCGACGGCAAACCAGGCCTTGTCACCGTGGGTCAGCTGGCCATCCTCGTTGACCGCGAAGCCGGTCATGTTAGCGCCCTCGGGCATGTTGCCGGAGTGGGGGACGGTGAACTGCACAGCGGCGACGGAGTTCTCGACGATGTACAGGTTCTGGAAGGCGGTGGGAACGGCGCCGTCGGCGAGGTAGGTGAGGGCGCCGGCGGAGTTGGAGGTCACTGCATAGGTGATCAATCCTGTTGTTCAGGGAGGGAGGATAGAGCAAGAACTTACGGACGACGGGAACTTGGTCGTCGGAGGTGGCGTTGCCAATGTAGAGGTATTCTGCTATGCGTCAGCATTCTGTAGCAACAAGGCGTGGTAGGTAGGTAGTTGGGGAACACGTACGGCCATCAGTGAGGACGGCGCTGTTGTCGTCGGCGACGAGAGTGAAGCGCTCAGGCAGAGAGGCGGCAGTGGCGGTGATAGCGCCCGCGAGAGCAGCAACGGTAGCAATAGAGAACTTCATTGTGGCGGGAGCGAAAGTCTGATTTGTTCTGGTTGGACTGAGATGAGAAGAGATTGTCACTTGCTGGAATGCTGTTATTATTGTTGTCTTTCTTTCTCAGAAACCCAGTAGCAACAGCTCACTTTATACGTCCGACGCTCCCCTGAACAGCCCCAACATCATGATTCCACCACCCAAGAAATTTGACATCATCGGTCTCAAATATCAGACCACGGAATTAGGGGCGCAGCGGGTCCCGTTGAGACATTGTTTCAGAGCGCCGTTGGCTGCACTGCATGTACTCAACTTATGTCTCCATCGCGATGTGTCAATCGACCTCGTACCGTGGAACCCACGGAAGGCGAACCACGATATACTGTATTGAAACAAGATCGATCACGGTCGCCCCAACTCAGTTCCCGGCCCGTTTGTGAGCGACGGGTCGGTGGATATCCAAACGGCGCCTTTTCTGGAATTATTCTTCTTGGGCTGTGATTGTCCGGCGGGAGGGGGTCTTTTCCCCACTTGGTGGGATGATCGGCAGTGTTGGCGCGCGGGGCGGGGATGTTTAACGTTGGGGTAGGGCGGACAACTGCCATTAACTATGAGTGTATATTTGTACCTCGGTTCTTGAGTCTGGTAGCTCGTGGGGACGGAGGAACTAGACTGATCTGCGATTATGCTTAGTCGAGGCCATTGAGTTAGTTCACATAGTGACGGGGGAGATCGTCCGAGACACGGCTCGTAGAGCCAAAGTCAGGTCGATAAGATCTGCAGGTAGGCAATTGAGACATTCCAAAATAGTAATTGCGTTGAACGTGTTTTCGAACAGGGTGCTAGAATTTGTCTTGTAGTAGGGTGCTACTGATTTCTTCAAGTGGTTTGGTATTCTTGCCGAATAGCTGTCTTCTTAGACACTGCATCACGCCTGTCTATAAATGGGTCATGATCTTCCTCTTCCGTTTCTCCGCGGTACCCCTGACGATATGCACGTAGACTCGGACATAATCCTGATTGCCATTCGGTCAGCTCGTCAGGTACGAGAGACGTCTGCGGAGGTAGTCGCAACTATCCGCTCAGGTGGGTGGAAATACTGGAAGAGCAAAAGGGCTTTGCCCTGCTATGCAAAGGCCACTGTTTTGGCCCACTGCTAGAAACTCGAGGCAGTATTTTACCATTGGAGTCGGAAGACTAATGTATACCTCTTACTGAAATATATTGCAAAGGGTCTGCGACGCTATCATCATCATAAAAGTCATAGGGACCAAACACCCAATTTTTCATCATCTCATCAAGCATCAACCCGACCCGGGTCCCATCACATCCCATTCCATCTTATTTTCCCATCCCAGTCATTACCTTACTCTTCGACAACACCCTTCAAGACGAATCCCTTCACACCCCCCGCAAACAAATCCCAGCCACGCACTTATTCCCATAGCAACAATCCGCATCCCCGCGACACACCCCCATATCTTCCTGGCAGTACGGCCAGTTGGGATCGGTATTCCGACAATGACTGGCAGCACAGTACCCGGAACAGCAGCTTAGTCCGCTTCCGAAGGAACATACCTCTTTTGTTCCCGGATGTTCGAATTAGCCACTGAGCTTGAGAGACTGAAGCAAAGAGACAGGGATTGGGTTTGGGGTTGAGCTCACCGTATACACCTAGGCAGGTCGGCTTCGGCACGCAGGTCACGGTGGTTGTATAGGAGGCGGTCGGAGTGAAGAAGACGGCGGTTGTGCAGGTTTGGGATTCTGGGCAGGAGGGAAGGGTCCCGCAGGGGGTTGGAGGTGTGGTTGTTGTGGATGGTGGCGGCGGGGTGGTGCTTGTAGCGAATGTAGTTGTCTGGGTTTCTGTTCATTCTGTTAATACCCACAGTGAGATCCAGGAGGATAATGGTTGAGAACGGGGACACGCACTGCCTAGGGCTAGAAACAAAAAGAGAGCAAAGAGGTAAAACATGGTCATGTGGATGCAGTGAATCGAGCTGAACAGATTGGAGTCTTGCTCTGGAACAGAAACACACGCTCAAGTGGCGCAAGATCCTGTTCTTATATACTTGCAGCCAGGGTTGCACGGCATCTCGGAGGCAGCGCGAGGGGGGCCGATCAGATGCAGATGCAAATGCATCGGTGTGTACTGTGACCGGGCGGGATACGAGGGACTCGTATGCGATTGAAACATGTCGCGCTGGTTATATGGGCGGATGGGGTGTCTTGAAAATCATAAGTTTGTTCGCCAAGTAGGGAGTGATTGGAGCGCTGCGAATCGAAAATTGGCGATAGGTTCTCCCCGCGGAGGAAGATCGACGGCGCATGAACGAGGACTGAGACACTCCCACACGTGATGCTATTTATACTCCACACTTCATGTCCAGCTCCCTTTACCAAGTCACACCGCGAGCCTCCAACCTGAACGTTATCGTGCGGTCGCTTGGCTTGCATTCTGCTGCGAGGGGGTGTATGTCAACGTCATCAATGCGAGGATGCGAGGTCCTTGCAGGGCGACAACGCAAGCTCAGAGGGACGTTCGACGGCTGTTTGTGACAGTGGTGAGACTGGAGCCATGGATAATCGCATGGAATATGTTGACAGACCTATGGCTGTTTGATGCGATGGATTAAATGAGGTAGCTCGAGCTGTTATGGTCTAGTTGCATTCCTCGTGTTCACCTGCCTTCCTCACCAGATCCCAATGGCAGTTCTCAGCATCACGTGGCCGAGTAAAGATCAACAAAGACACATCCACAACTCTTCGGCCTTTTTTTTTTTTGCCTGTCGCCCAAACTCGCAAATAGTGACGATTTGACGGTAACCAGCTTTGAGTTCCAGTAATCTTGCTAGCGGCCCTTGCAAGAGATCACCTAGTGCATGCTCCATTAAGGCGACGACGCCTAGACCCAGATGTCGACTTCATCCATGTGAAGGGAACGTTGAGACTCTTCCATGTACAACGAATGTACTGTACAATAGACTGAGCTCTGCCCAATCAATTGTCGTCGAGGTTGTGTATAAATGTTGCAGATACTTTCATTCCAGGTAAAGGACCGGGGACGCTTTCTGGTAACAAAGCTTCCTCCTCGAGCTGTTCGGATCTTGCCAACGACGGAAAGTCCCATGAAAGTCCGGGGTACAGTAGACAACAAGCTATCAGTGATCAGTTCCGATGCGCGCCATGAGAGATCGCGTGTGCTGCAGTGAAACATAAGCAGGTATGCCTGCAAGTCAAGCGCTGCTGGCAGATGTGTTAATACTGAGAGGAGCTTTCATCGCTCCAGTAATACAGCTCAGGAGAGCAATAGCCTATTTCCGGTGCTCCTGTCAGTAATCCATTACCTACCCCACAGTCGATCTAATCAATCCAGGATCTACAGCACACCCAAAGCTTATCTTCTTCAACAACAACCCCCATCCCATTTCAACCACAATGAAAGATACACCTGCGAGCGCGACACCACCACCAAAGTCACCCGAACACTTCTAACGCGAGGTAACACGAGTCCGTCGCCACCCCGGTAACTCAACCACCTCCCCTGACATCACCAACTGAACCTTGTTGTCCTCCCGCCCACCCCATCGAATCCCATATTAACCCCACCGGCCCCGAATCTCATCCGCAAACATCACTCCCGTTACTCCCAAACAACCTCCATCCATCGAAAACATCACTCACCACGAACAATAAACAACAAAACAAGACACAATGAGCTCAATCCTCAAACCCACCCGCTCCTCCCCTCTGTTCCTCCGCCCCCTCCTCCTGCGACCGTATCTCACCCGTCCGTACCACAAAGAGTTGCACAGCAACAAAGGCGAAGAGTGTACGTTCTTCTGCTCCGCTTTCCAGCCGTTCTGACGTTATATCATCGTCTAATTTCCTATACACCTCGAAGATTGTCGATAATGCATAGTAACGCTAAGGTGCAATAGTATTCATCCCCCCGTCCTACCCAGACGACATCGAGCCTCCGAAACTGATCCACAAGAAGGAGACCAAGGAGAGCATGTGGGATGAGCTACAGGCTACGATGAGTGAGACCTCGGTACGTTTGCCTCGTCCATCCGTCCAAAAAGGAAGGGATGCGCTGCGAGAGAACACATACTGACGAGGTGATGTGGTAGGTCAAAGCCGATCGAGGTGATATCAAGTTCGAGCCCAAGAAAGTCGGGCAGAAAGCCAGTGCGAAGTCGGATGGGGCATTTCCAGAGCGAGAAGAGCCCAGGATCGATGAGATGTGATTCCTCGCTTTCTTAATCTCGGTGTCGCAGATGATGGCCCGGCTGGGGGAGAAGGTTAGGCATGGTTTGAGGCCGGGTACTTGCAATGTTGACATGGTCTTTTCTGCACTGTACTGTACTTGCGCGGTTCAACAAATTGTATGTAATCAATAAGTGATGTCATCATTCAAGCATGCTATCTATGCTCTAGCTCTAGTTCTACTTCGTTTCCAAAGTTCAATGATCATGCACACGCCCCAATGGAGATGTGATCTACGTTCTCGACCTGCTGCACGTCTGTTTCCACTTTCTGGTCCACGTGAGACTCCTGTGCATGCTGGCCGGGCATGACCGTCCGGCCACCCTTGGAGCTGAATACCCCTCCTGTGATACCCCCCTTGGCAAAAAGCAGAGGGATATCCTCCAACTCGATTCCTTTAGTCTCCGGGTAGAAGAAGTAGACCATCGGGATGAACACCGCATTGAGCACGGCGAAGATGATGAATGTTTTCCACCCAATATTCTCTGCGGCAGGTGGTTAGCTAGGATTCTGACACCGTTCACTCTCAGCAAAAGGAAAAGACTGAACGTACCGAAAGCGATCGGGGTGATCTTCACCACGGCAAACACAGCCATCCAGTTCCATCCAGACGCAATGGCCGACATTCGCGTCCGAACTCGCGTTGTGTTGATCTCAGACGGATAGAACCACGGTACAGGCAGCCAGCCAATCCCGTAGAAGATCTGGAAAATGAAGATAAATGCGGTCGCGCCGTAGGCACAGTCGGTGCGGTTAAGCGACAGCAGAATTGTGACCATCACGAAGCACAGACACAATCCTGCGGAGCAGATCATCAACAATGAGCGACGGCCGAACCTGTCCATCAGAAACACTGGAATTGCAGAACCGACGAGGTAGGTGCACTGCATGCCGCCGCCGAGGAGCATCGACAGGTTGCGGCTCATCCCCATCGTTTCTTGGAACAAGACCGGTCCGTAGTAATTTATCATATTCGAGCCCGTGAATTGCTGGCCCAGTTCGATTGAGATGGTGATCAGAAGACGGCGGAGGTTTTGAACCTCGCCCCATGAGAAGAGCTCCGCAAAGTGGAAAGGCCCTTCCCGTTGCTCTTCATCGAGGACGACTTGAATGTCGAGGATGGTTTTAGTTACAGTCGGATCGTTGAGATGAGTGTCTTGGATGGCGGCGATGACGGCGCGGGCCTCTTCGTGTCGGTCGTGTTGAACCAGCCAACGCGGGGTTTCGGGAAGACCGATTGTCTGTAAAACGAGACAAACGGCGAACACGGCTTGGAAAGCGAGTGGAAACCGCCATTCAAAGGATGAGGTGTAGAAGCTGGTGCCATAATCGAGCCTGAATAAGAGCAGCATATGAGCAAACGTCTAATGTCACGGAGAAAATTGACATGCCAGTACGCAATGACCACACCAAGGATCGTAACAGTACCCTGAAGAGTCAGGAGAGCACCTCGATAGGACGCAGGTGAGCATTCACTTTGGAACACGGGCGCTGTCGATGAGTTCATGCCATTGCCGATTCCAGTGACAATCCGGCCAACAAGCAGCTGTGCTATCGAGTAGGATGAGGCAAGCAGAGCAGAACCAATAATCATGATCGTCGCGCCCGTCAAAAGCATAGTTCGTCGCCCATATTTCTCGCCCAAGAAGTAGCAAACAATAGACCCCACCACGCAGCCAATATCATATAATCCGGTGATGTCGCCTTGCATCGAAGCATCGGGGTTGTTGAAGTCCTTGGCGAAACGGTTATCGGCTCCGACGATCCCAGACATGACGCCTAGATGCGTATCAGCACATGGTCCCCGGCCTTCCAGCAACGGCACTCACCCTGATCATATCCTAAAAGAAGGAAAGCCTGGCACGAGGCTGCGGTGATAGCAAATATCAGGGGTTTCCCCCGAAAATCATGTTTCCAGAGCCGCATCTTGAGTGAAGCGACGGGCAGAGCTTTCGCTTAGGTATAAGGTAGGCAGATGAGCTGAAGGATGATTTAAGCTATCACGCCTCAGCCGAGATGGCGTCCATCTAATACTTAACCAGCAGCTTGGCAGCATCATCTTCAGAAGCTCGCCCTTGATTGTCCCGAGATCAGGAGAGGGTGGAATCCACTAAAAACGAAAGTTATTGGTTGGCTTGCCTATCGGAGTCAGGATAAGCAGCGGGCTTGCAATTTCGGTACACCAAGTCGGTGGATCATCGCGCCGAAACGCGGGGTACCCCATGGGACGGGCACACTGGCGTAATGCTGGCACCGGCCACTCGTGCTCACCGAGTGCCCGCCCCATCGGTAAAGAACTCGGCATTCCGTTTTGCAGCAGAATGATGTAAGCGCAATATCTGCAGTGAGAAATGGTATCAGCAAGTGGTATCTCCTCGCATTCTCGCATTTCAAGGTGGTCTTATCCAGATCATCAAAGTGGAGTAAGTTGTGAGCATTCTGAGAGACAGGATAAATCCCCGGAATTGGCCCAAGAATGGTTGAGTCACGTGCAGGACAGCTCCCAGATTACTCATGATGATCTCTGCACTCCCATTGGCTGGATTATTCGGACTTCTACTCTGACCACCTTAGTGCAGTGCAGTGGTCACTAAGACTGTACATTACGTTCGGCCTGACCATGTCCCTCTCTGCGCACCTCCATAACGGGTCAGTTAGCCTCTGTAGGCAGCCTGAGCTGGAGTGACCTTTAGCCCACAAAGGTCTTTTAATCATGGTGCCTTTTATAACGATATATATCATCGCAATTGGATGCGAATGCGCGGCAAAGTTGTCCAAGCTTACCTCGCCTATGACCTGCCTCGATACACCTGTGTAAGTCGCCGACAAAGCGCTGAAAGAGTTCGTATCTGCTGACACCTAGCAGAAGCCAGAATGAACCTCTACAAAGTCATCCGGAGTAGCCACAAACCATCCATAGAAGGGGGCACCGCACAAACGTCCGCCAGGTGTTTATCCTGCATGTATCTCAGAGAAGCCCGACCCAGGCAGTTCTACTAGCAGATTTACGTGATTTTTGGGCATTGCTTTGACCAAGCTATCTGTACGATTGAGTCACGGAAGGATGAGTAAATCAATTGAACGAACATACAGTACATCGATGCATGTAAGTATTTCCAATCCGAGCAACAAGAAAGCGAGTACCCAAGTTCATTCAATATGAAAGATCCAAGACCCTCACTGGTATGCTTCCTTACATCATGATGATGAAGATTCCAATACAACAGCCAAGGTATGACAGATATACAACCCCGCTACAAAGAAGCTTCTTCGACATCCTCAGTATCTGTCAATCTGTCGGCACCAATACCCCTCCAATGATGCGCTGTCTGATTTCACCTGCTAGACGATAATATCATGTCTGATTAGCTGTGGCCTGGAAAGGAAGGTGTGCAGGATAGTCCATACGGCAGAATTAACGCCTCCAATTCCAATATAGCAAGTACTGGCGGGTTCAGAGCGAGGTACATCGCGAGTAGATTGTCGTGGATGGCATGAAGGGCATCAACATCATCGGTGGTCTGAAGATGGTCCAATCCATTGGCAATGTTCTGCCAATGAACAACCAAATCATTGCTAGCCCATGGCTCGCCCAGGCTTTCCAGACGAATGCGCGCTTCCATGAGGCCAAATCTGATCTCAGATTGGCACTGCCGAATGGCAATCTCCAAATCTTTATCATGAGACACCACATGGTCTTTCAGACGCTGGGCGCATTCTACAGTTATCTCGCTGATCCTGAAGGATATCCCATCATAGAGATCCTCGAAGCACTCGATGAGGTCGGATATCTTCCCCTCCATTTTGTAATAATAACGGTTAGTGGAAGCTACAACTGTTAGCACAGTGCCATATATCTCGAAGAAATTCGTGATATACTAACATGGTGATGATATGCGTGTTTGCCAGGGCTTGGATGGAAGGAGGATGTTAAGAAACCTTTATAAGCGAACAGAAAGCCGAAGCCCAATTTCATATCCATAATCTCCACACAAACTCACGGAACAGAAGTGAAGCCGAAAAAGAGACATGGTGAAGATATTCCCCAGCTAAACTCACGTACCAGTGAGTCTAGACTGGGGCTGACGTCGTGAAGGCACGCGTCACGAGTCTGTTAAAATTATCTCAAAGAATTGACGGAATACAAGCAAAGTAAAAGGAAGCCGTACTACGAAGAACTTCACCAAACGTTTCGAACAGGCGGAAATCTAGACAAGGGCTGAAGTTGTTAATCCACACGTCGCACCCTTCTGATAGTCTATAAAGGTTCCCCGCCACCATCTCACCACCTCTTCCATCATCACCCGCCTACATTTTCTCTTCCTGAACCCTTTCCCTCTTTATCATCGATTAACCACCCTGCCACTGTCTTGCTAGATTTCTTGTGGCTGTCTTCACACATCCATCCTCGCCTTGAAATCAAACACCACTACCACATATCGAGTTATCGACAGGAGGCTTCCACGTAAGGCAATGCTGGTGAAGTGCTCTATATTGATTAGGTTGATGAGCTAGAAACTAACAAAGTATCATCTTCGAGCAGAAATCATATCTATCAAACATCTTACATCTTTGTTTCATTCCACCAGGACTTTGCTCAAACAAAGGTTAGTCTCATCCCGGTTTGATATTTCAGCACGTCTCTGATGAATACGTGCAGAGACAAACACCATGGACAAAATTACCTCACATAAAGCTGCGCCTGGAGATGCGTGTGCCACTGAGGACCCAACTGCTCGTGCTGGTGTCAAGCACCCCTTGGAAAGCACCGCCTTTGGATCTCTGGGATGGTTTCTCAACGGCGTTTCACGCCCCAAAGAGCTCCCGGTGCCCGTCGCGGAGCGCCTTCGCCAGAAAATCACCGAGTCGGACCCAACCATCGAAGGTGTCACTAACGAGCGGCTCATCCTGGTTCGCAAGGCCTTGGTCGAGAGTAAGACCGCAGTCGACTCCGGATCTGCCTTTGTCTTCCTGGACGTGGCGATTTCTGAGCTTATGGAGAACAAGAATGAGACTCCAGACTGCCTTCTCGCCCGCGCCGTCAGAGCTTTCAAAGACCTTCTCCATGGAAACACTGTGGATTGTAGGAGTATCACAGAGGGCTATGTCGAACTTGCAGCATTCCGTGCGCAGTTCAGACATGCGAACAACGAAATCATTCGGGCTTGCAATGAGTATCACGCTGCGGTCGAGGCGGGAGTGGATAGAAAGGAGGCGATGATTGTGCAGGTCTCGAAGGCCTTTGATCGGATCGGAATGGGTACTTTGCATCTGCTTTGGGATGAGGCGAAGGGATTCTACCCCAAGGAGGAAGCTGCCAAGTTCGGAAGCTCCATCACCTCGCTGGACCACTTTCAGGAGATGATCGAAGATCTCAAGTTTCTCAACGATGGTTACGACTATGCTGACAATGAGTCCGAATGGGTGAAGGCCTAGGAGCCGTGGTCATCGTGCCAACTGTCTCTTTTGCTTGGTCTTGGACCTTGAGTCTTTGGAGAAGTGGATTGGATGATCGAGATGATGCTTCTTGGTCGGGATTGATGACGGCATTTGCTACCATGTATCTAAATTGCAAAGCTCTTTGCTAAAGTTCCGCTCGCAAGGATCCGTACTAGTCTTCGTAGCCTTTACTTCTGTAGGTCTTTTGTCTCTTCAGATACGCAGGAACAACACGTATCCTGCAGAAATTGAAATCGTCTATCTAAATGAATTCTGGCTGGGACAAATTCAGCTTGAAAACTTTGAAAGAGTTGCTCGCAAATGAGTATACCTGGGCCACAGCCAATGACGGACAGTGCATCACGTGATGTTTACATTCAATCCACGTCGAGTGACACAAACAGTCTTCCAAGTTACGAAGTGAAGGTAGAGCAACAAGTACCACTCTCTAGCTACAAGCACTGATCATCGCTAGAGCTCTCTTTCTTGATCCTTTGATACTCGGAACCCTTTTGTGCACACACAAACTCACCCCTCCCTCGAAGGGTAAACCGCCCACAACCATGGCTAGCCTTCGATGGCCAGCCAATCCCCTGTCCACCTGTACAAGACTGCACAAGACAACACGCATTACCCAGTTATGCACGCGCAACCTCTCGATCCTCCGCAGGAAGCCTCTTATAATTCCGCACTCACTGAACCCTTTATCACGCGATGAACCTGTAGAAGAGGAAAAGTCCCCCGGCTACAGGTCCGAAGATTACTATCCCGCCAAGCCGGGCGAGGTACTTGCAGACCGCTACCAACTTATTACCAAGCTCGGCTGGGGGATGGCCTCAACCGTATGGTTGGCGCGCGACATGACAGGGTACATTAAATGTTTATATGTTATTCAGTGTCACACTACTAATGCTAGGAGCAATGCAGTTACCGGTGGCAGCAGGAGACAGTCGTCGCGCTCAAGATCGGCAACACCAATTGTGACGCAGAGGAACACGAACTCGCGCTCGAAGGACACATCCCGCAAAGCGACGCGACACGAGAGGGCCGGATCTTTCTGCGCACGGCGCTCGAGTCTTTTATTTTTGAGAGCAAAGCGAGTAGGCATTTGTGCTTGGTATACGAGCCGATGCGGGAATCGCTCCGTGACTTTCGCTACCGTTTTGTCGATGCTCAGATACCTCTCGTGTTGATAAAGCTCTACATTCGAATGCTGCTTCTTGGGCTAGATTATCTCCATAGTGTCTGTCGTCTGGTCCATACCGGTACGATTTGATAAACATTTGTTCGTCTGATTTTGAGCTGATTAGATGCTCCCCAGATCTCAAACTCGACAACATCATGATGTCCTTCGAGGATCCAGTGGTTTTGGATGGGTTTACGACATTACAGTTTCAGGTACCCATGGAATACAAGATCGACTCTGCCGGTCGACATGTTTATCTCTGCCATAATGAATTTGGGCCCCTGAGAAAAGCTAGAAATATCCCCAAGATTGTGGATTTCGGATCAGCGATCAAGCTCAATCCTGATGCCAAGTGCATTTGGCCGATTCAACCACATCATTACCGTGCGCCTGAGGTAATTCTGGGCTGTGGCTGGAACACGGGCGCGGATATTTGGAACATGGGGGTCCTTGTACGTTGATGTGCCTACAATGTGTCCACTGCTAACACTTTGCAGCTCTGGAACCTCCTCCAAGGTAGAAACCTGTACACCCAGGTTTACGATGTCCACGGATACTATAGTGCTAAATCGCACCTTGCGGAGATGATCGCCTTGTTCGGCCCGCCTCCCCCGGAAATGCTTGCGAGAGCCCGGGAAATGCGGAATCAAACGTGGTCGCCAAAGATCAGAATGACAGGTTGTAATGGGAAGTTATCGGACACGGCCGAAGATTTGTTTGATGGTCCCTTTTTTGATGAAGAGGGTAGCTCATGCCCTTATGACAAATAGAGAATTTTGCTAATCACCGGATAGGCGAATTCCTGTATCCGGACTTGATCCCCGAGCGTAAGCTCGTGGATACCCTTCCCGTGCTTGAAGGCAAAGACAAAGAGATGTTTCTTGATTTAGCCAGGAATATGCTTGTATGGGATCCAACGGAGAGGTTAACGGCTGCTGAGCTGGCCGAGCACCCCGCCCTTCAAGATAACTGAGGCTTGCCCCATCGACTGTACTATTATGATTAAGACACAGAACATACTCCTCTCTTCAACATAGCCTCCCCATCAACGGAGACTAGATCGAAATCCATGGACGGTGCAAGAAACAGCCAACTAGCTTGCTTCGCCTTCATAGAGAATTTTGGACGACAGTTGAGCGGCATGGTTGTTGACCTAGACAAAAAAGTCAATGGCCAGCTCCTTTCCGTCTTGCTTCTCGGTATGTATGTAACCATGGCATTTTGGCTGGGCATGTAACAGAGTGAGACATGATGATCGGCTTTTAGCGCCATCTGGGCTCGAAATTTCAGCATATCAGATGCCTAGACGACATTAGATGCGGAATCAATGATCCGCGGGTGCTGAACTTCGTACTGCACCATTGCATTTTGGCCTGAACCACGACAGATTCAGCCCACAAGCCGCAATACGAAAGCAAAGGGGTTTGAGGGTTGATAGTCTTAGCGTGAGGCTTAATGCCGTAGTATTATTGCCCCGTTGTGCTTCTATCCCCGGACTTTTCAAGCGAGAGTATGGAGCCACGCCCATGGTTGAAAATATCTTGATGCGAAGGTAAGACAATAACAAACCTCCGAATCGTCAATCACATGCACAAGTAGACAGAGGGACACTTTACAGACTATACGAGAGAGCGAGCAGGTACTGCAGCTGAAGACCTTCATCCATGGCCAGACTCTCGAGAACCATGGGTCGTGGTAGCACAGCTGACTGAAACCGCAGCCGGTTAGAATCAGCACTGGCTATAACTCGCCAGCCGCGCCGGATGAAGCCGTTCTGACTCAGCATCGCTTGACTGTTCCTTTCAAGTGGTGATTTCATTGGGCTACTTATCATCTTGGTATTCCCTTCGCGACGCTGTAACCAACCTCACTTCGGGTAATGAGGTCATGGACTTTTGAGATAAAGAAATCGCGGGGAAGCTCATCTTAATTGTCCTTACCCCACCCCTACAACTTATAACAGCCCTAAGCTCCCCAAACCCCTTGGCCAGGTCTGCGATCTGCAAGCAAGTTACCCTTGTAAACTTTCATCATGGACAGTTTCTTCAATAATCCTCTGGGCTTAGTGTCCTACTTTCCCCGGGTGATCCAGTTCATCAGCTCCGTGGTCGTCCTCGGAATCACTGCTTGGGCTGTGCAGGAGACGAAAAATGTAACGGTTATTTACAGTTTGGTTATTGTAAGCCGCCGTCGCTGTTTAGAACTCGAAACACTGCCGTGCTGACACAACGCTAGTCTGTTGTTACCATCGTTATCACTTCCGCGGCGCTTCTGTTCAGCTGTATGATCAAGCGCCAGAGATGGCACATCTGGCCAATACTGATAACTGATGGAGTGATGTCTTACTTGTAAGTAGTATGACACCACACGTGTGGAAATAGCTGGAGATATTCTGACGCTTGGCGTTGCAGGTGGCTCGTTGCCTTTGTGTTCTTGGCGCAGAATTTCAATGCTGTGAACTGCCGTATCATCCTCTGGAATGGTTTGACAGCCTGCAGCCGAAAGTATGCCGCGGAGGCATTCAGCTTCATCGCATTGTACGTCAATCTGGATCGTACGGTGAAACTTTCCCATCGCATGCTAACGCGCTTAGTTTCTGTGCTCTGGTGGCACTCGGGCTCGATATAGGATACATTTACTGGGCCAAGCCGAAGATCTCGGCCCCGATGCAAGAGCGGGGGCGCGAGGATCAGTTGGGCCAGAACCTGGCGAATGCCGGGGTGATGTAGTTTGGTTGTGAGCGCGGTGCCTGTCTCGGGATTGCTCGGTTCTGGAAATACGGGCCGTTTGAGTCTATGATGTCAGTTTCCGGAGGCGCACTTTGTGATTCTGTGTATAAGACAGCTGCTGACTCCGTGTAATCGATATGTAATTTCAAAATATTCCGCCCGAAGCATATAATAGATTTAATTTGACTCTCTCCTGTGCGCTATCGCCGTCATGCCAGCCACAGCTTCGTAAGTTTTGCCACAAAATGCCCGAACGGGCGCGACGTGACTAACCCTGCTTGCCGCTGCAGAGACGTCTGCCTCGTCATCCTGGCGATTTTCATCCCCCCACTCGCAGTCTTGTTGAAGCGGGGATGTGGACCCGATCTCTGCATCAATATCGTACTGACTTTGCTCGGTGACATCCCGGGCATAATTCATGCATTGTAATCCCGCCGTCCAGGAATCGTCGCTTCACAACTATTTGCTAATACATCATAGGTTCATTGTTTTGACTTCGCGCGATAGACGGGACTGGAATCAGAACCAGTACTACCATCAGAGTCGATACTATTAGTCAGGGTTTTACATAATATTGTCTTTGCGAGTTGTCAGCGTAATGTGTGGGGTGTATCCTGGGAAGGACTAGCTCTGACAGATTGTACATAAATGATTTTTGTTCCTTGAACTTCCTCCTGCGTAAAGTACTCGCCTATTAATCCAACTCATCACCTGAAAAATGCAGGGTCGTGCGATCCCTTAACCACGTAGACTGATTTTCCCAAGGTTTTAGAGCATGCAGATCCCAGCAGCCCTACAGTTATGGCCAACCTCAGCCTTTGCCCTCGTGTGTGGCTGTCCTCGCCTTCCTTTCCACGTGCTTGGGAGGCTTGATTCAAACAGCTAGGGCGGTAGGAGCTGGTCTCGCCCGCACCTCCACACAATTAGTCACCTTGCGCGTTGTCGCAGGCTTGTCTGCCTCTTTCTGTCTTCTCGGCGCAGTTAGCGTCGTCACCGCTTATGTCTTCACTGCCAACAAGAACCCTCGCAGACGCAGCATCGCCTTCGCTGCAATGGATGGAGGCCAGGCGTCGGGTTTGGCCTAGGTCTAGCACTAGGAGGCATCTTCTCCGACACTGTCGGCTGGCGCTGGGGATACTAGGCGACCGCCCTTCTCAACAGTGTCGTCCAGGCTCTCACCCTGTGGGCCTTACCCACCACCACCACCGACACCCCCTTTGGAAATCCACCTTCAGACGGCTCGCCCAGAAAGTCGACTGGGTCGGCACCCTGCTCATCAGCACCAGCCTCGTGATCTTCTCAATATATATAAACTCGTAACCTACCGGATGGGATAGAATAGTGTTTGTTTTGTGTGTGGTGATAGCCAGCGTGCAGACCCACAATAGAGACGTGGCTTTCCTCTCGGCTGAATACCGTGACTGTAACCATCTTCACGCAGTAAGGCGACGCGAATTTTGCCAATATTCACTCATACTCAGAACTGTTACGATCATAAACTCGACATTCTAGTTGACCATGTATGAAGTACATATTTCTCACCCTACTTGAAGCCTACACACCGCTACTGAGTTACAATATCTTTCCCACTCCTTAAACAGATTCAGAGGTTGATCACTCATGCAAGGGCAACTCCGCCCCCGACCCCGTTCCATAAGCCATCTTCAAAAGCTCCGTCACCTCCGACGGATAAATCTAATTGAACACCGCCATAACGATCAACATCATCGCTGCATTAAAGATATAGATTCAATACTCGTGCTGCAGCAGGGCGCCCGTCGTCCCCTGGTCATATTCGATCAGACGGAAGATACATCGGATGAAGATAAAGACGCTGCCGATGTAGAGAGCGTGCATGTGTCGCCTCCACGGCACATTCCTCGCGTACCGCTTTGCGAACCCGGATTTGACCAGTCGCACGTGGAAGAGCACGCTGGTCAAGATGAATAGCCCGAAGAAGATGACCTGGATTATCAGGCCGATTTTGATGATTGTCTCGCCGGTGGAGAAACTGCTGGCCTTTTGTTGGACGAGAATTGCGGCGCCTGATTTAGGAATTTTAGTGTGTTGGGTTAGCGACCTTGCTTGATGGAACGAACGAAGGGAGAGGGGGTGAGGAGTGTTTACACCTCCAGCCTGGGTAAGAAAGGCTACAATGTCTCCCAATACGAAGATCTTGGTCAGCCAGGAGCGCCGAACAAGGCAGAATTGCTCGCCCCCGGTTATGTAAATGATGCGGCCGAGGGTCATATAGATGCTGGCGGCGAAGAGGGAGGGCGCGATAAGGATGAGGATCGTCTGGACGGCTATTGGGCCCAGCTTGTAGTCGGGGTATTGGCTACCAGAGATAGCTCTCTATACCAAGCATTATGGTTTGCTCGCATGGAATGCATATGAGATGAAAGCATGAGGGATGGAAATTGGCCGCAATGTATCCCGCCACTTCAACTACTCATCCCCCGGTCCTTGTATCAGCGACGACCGCTCCGAGGAACATAATTGATCGTGCATACATACAGTAACCCCTAATTGTGAAAGCAATGAAGAACCAGGTTCTTGTTCGATACAGTCGAAAGGTGTGGTAAAATGTTGTTGCTGCGAAGAGGACGGCAAAGACAGACGCGGCGGCAACGGAGGGTACATAGTTGTACTCTCCTATGTACTTGACTATGAGAGTCATGATGTAAGAGAGAAATATACTGAATAGCTCAAGTATGTAGATCGACTAGTCTTCTAAGGAATAGTAAACATCTTGCATAAAGCCTCTATATATACAGAAATCGGCTTCGGGATTCCGCATCATTGTCTACACTGGCACTCAGGCTAGATCGGCCTAGCAGTCTTATGCCATCCTGAAGCCAATTATCTGTCGCAGTTCCCTTATAACGTAAACGGAATGAGAACCGCCTATGTAAGAGGCTGGATAACCTATTTACAGTTTAGTTGTACCTGGGCGAGTCTCCGTATACACGAGATTTTAACTGCATCGGAGCGTCGGGGCTCCGAGTTTCCGACAGTCCGACCGCCGATGTTTGAGGATCTTTTCCCCTCCACACATTGTCTACCCGTGGGGCCCTGAATGAGGCTGTGGGAGCGTTTGCGGAAGCGGGTGCCTGGGTTTAGTATGATATTCTATCCAACAGGCGAGCTGCTTCAGTACGGAAAGGCCCAGCCCCGAGCCTACCCATGAAGTATTTTAATCTCTTTAGGCGAGGCCTAGGTCAGTCGGGGGACCACACAGATATACAGCTCTCCATGAGTGATGTTCAGTACAATATTCAGCATCCTTTAATCGCCCATAAAGCAGGGTGGTATGCATTTTGAGATCAGGTATGCACCACTACATTGAATGAAATTTAGCCGAGAGCGACTAATGAGGTCCGAGAATAGCAATTAGGTTACGCAGTTCACGCCGCGGGCACCATCCAAGGCTAATAATATCATGAATGCTTATTACTTCTTCTGCTGATTCGGTTTTCAGAATGCTGTCGAAGCCCATATTAGGAAAAATTATTCTTTCACCAAGACACCTGCCTTTCCGCCTATGATGATTCCTCCTTCGACCCGCATTGCCTTTTCAACACTCTCTGAACACCAGGACATATAAAAATGCGTGCACTATCTCGATCAACATTTCGCTTGTTGCTCATCATATCTTCCTTTCGAGATATTCTTGCTGACGAGTTCACCTCAACGTCTGCTTTGGCAAATTGTGGCCCTAACACAGCCATTAGTGTGACGTACTTCGATGCCAAATTGACACGGTCTGGAACCATGGACATCGCTTTTACTCTCTATCTCGACATATCAGGGAATGTCCCGCCTGTGGTGCTGTTAGTGTAAGGATACCGGATTCTCAATAGCACGATCAGCCTGTGCGATGTGGGCCTAGACAGCCTCCGCCCACTTGCATACAAATGTTCCAGTGGACTATTGGAATCGGGTCCAGGAGCCGTCGATGGTAGGCCAGAGTGTTGTAGTCGGAGTCCTCTAGGCCTGTTGCAGCATATTTCTTGTGCCACTTCTTCAATCATGCTACCAAGTCCTTGTCCTTAGGATCGACCCCGTATTTCTCACAAGCCAGCGCCAGGAACCACACGTCCACGGGCGTAACTTCGCTGGTGGTCACCTCACCGAGAGTGTGGTGGAGCTGACGCAGGAGGATTTCCATCGCCTTCAGATTGTCGGTCTGAGCGTGATGTACGACACGTTTCCCGATCTGGCAGACGCCGCGACTGCACTCAGTAAGTCTCGGAAATATGGAGCCGCTCCCAGGAGTGTCTCACCTCACTTCTATTGTCACGCGGATCTGTCTCCTCAGTCGGTGTCCCTGCTGCACTAAGTATGAGGCTTCCTGAACGACCAGGAGCTTCAGGTCGGGTGAGCTTGTCAAGGAGATGCTGTCGGCGTTCTTGATTCTCTTCTTAGAAGAGGTAGCCGTATCGGTAGTTCTGTATGCGAGGGGGTAAGGAAGGAGGAGTGGTAGCTAGTGCACTGATCAAAGCCTGCAAGGCTAGCGAGATGAGGTGTGGGGAAGGATGTCGGCTCAGTGAAGAGGAATGAAGCTGGAGTGGAAGAGAGTTATGGAGAAAGAAGAGTGCGTTGGAATGTCAAACAACTCCGGCAAGCCGACCTGGTGCCTAGTAGTAGCTTGTTTGTGTTGTGACCAGCCAGATCACCAGTGGCTAAGGTACCACTGCCAGTAATACCTTCTGAATGAGTCGGTTATGATAGACTATATGTGGATCCCAGTGTTATCTTCTACACTGTAAGGCTCCATCTGACGTACCGGTGGTGTAAGAGTGAGAATATACTAGCAGCCTGAATAATCACGTCTGAGAATTGAAAGAGAAATGGTAGGATTATATCCCATTGCGGTGAGAGCCAGGAGTAAACAGTGATTCTCAGCCCAGGCACAGATACTATTTGATTTCGATGCTAAGAGCTTATATGGGATCGGCCAAAAGAAGTTTACCCAATGGTTCGAGGCATGGGGCATTCACAAAGAACGTCAGGTCAACCCAGGCAAGGAATTGAGCTTCTATCGAGAGATCCTGCTTCCCAGTTGCGCTATGGAACATGCGACAATTTTTGCCCGGGCAACGAGAGCCCTCGTGTACCAGAGCACACAGCACATCACCGCGGGGTGCCCGGCTGATGTGGGAATGCTGATTTGGGCGCCGATCCTGTGTTAAGTTAAATTGTGCCATGTTAGGCAATTTTGTCCGATCTGTCTCCTTCCCACAAACACTGCCACGTCCTCCTTGCTGACTCCTAAGTCGCATGGATTGAACAGGCCAGTTGAACGCCGTCCGTCTTCGTCTTCGCGATACTGTGCACCGGGATCTTCTTGGCCGCATTTTACAGATGCTTCACGAATCAATGTCACCCTGCTGCAAGTGTACCATATTTGAGAGCTCCAGAGAATCCAAGTCTAGCCTTTCGAAGACTACATGAAGACCACGGGATTGACGAGTTGATCAACGCTTGTCCCGCTTTGAAGCAGAACAGAGGCGAATGTATATTGTTCCTTCAACGAACCAACCAGTGAGTTGTGCTGTGTGCACCGCAGACTGGAACGGTGTTGTCAAATGTGCAGCGACTCGCGCGGCAGGCTACTTTGATGGGCTCTGTCTTGATTGCGTGTTCAGGACGGCCGAGAAGGACCATCTCCGTTGTGATCAGCACTATAATGAGAAAGACTACAGGGGTTGCTCGGATGGGTGCAACAGATTTGATCGTGGGTGTCGGATCCAGCACGGGGAGCCTACGAGTTGTCAGCAATAACCACGACAGGGGCCCTCAGGTCACTCAGGTGGTCTCCCTTATCGCCTTGCAAATCAAGGTTGACTAGGCTCTTCCCATTAGAAAGCGTTCTGGGATATTTAAATTCCCTTTCTGTTCTCCTGGGCGGTCTTCCAATGCTTCTTTTTTGCAATGTTTATTTTTATTTAGCGGATCTTACGAAGAATCGACTAACTTTAAACTTAAAATCCTAGATGTGATTTCGTGATCGTTATCGAGCCACAAAGATTGGATAGTCATAACTTCAAACAATGTCAATACGCTTCGGCTTTCATTTCCACAGTATGGCAGGTGCCATCCGCCGTGCACGGACTTGAATTCCATGTGTCGTTACCAGCATCAACCGACGCTACACTCACCGCCCTCATCCTCATATCTATCCTGTTTGTCAATCTATCAGAATTCATTCCTTCTCTTTACCATATCCGAGCAACACTTTCCACCCTATCCGTTCATCTCTGTCTTGTTAGTCACGACCATGTCCGGGACCAAAGACGTCACTCGCGATGGCTTCACCTCTGCCTACGGTCGGCTCTACACTACGCAGGGCCGCATCGAGCGCGTGGACGGCGCGACACTCCGGTCGATGTTCCTACCCAAGCTCAGCCGCAGCGGCCAGCAGGCGATGTGCGGCCGCCCGGACTTTGTGCGCGGACAGCTCCATCACTACGATGTGGCCTTCGACCAATCCAAGTTCACCGGCAACGGCACCCTTTTGCTTAAACAGGCCCTGCAGGCGGGGCAGTGTGACACCGTGCCGCCGCATCGGCTCGCGTTGGAGGCGCAGCTGCACCGCGAATGGCTGGCGACCTGCACGCCGGAGCAGCTGTCCGGGCAGCCGGACTGGGTCATCCAGAAGTACTTTGGGAATGATCCTCAGCGCCCGGATCGCAGCATCACAAAGACGGTCGTGGGGATCCCATTCGAGCCTACCAGCGAGTATCGCGTGAGTCAAATGCGAGAGGCGGCTGAGAAGGTGGTCGGTCTGCACCACGAGACGGCCCGCGGCCCGCAGACCAAGGTGATCTTCATGGGGTGGAACAAGGCTGCGGTGGGGAAGGCGGCCAAGGGCCATGCGGCGAAGGAGAAGAAGGAGATCGAGGCTGCGGAGCGGAAGCGCGAGACGGAGCGTGCAAAGCTACACGCGGGCTATCGGTGCCAAACTCGGAAGGCCCCATCTCCGGTTGGGAGCTACATTATCGACTGTGAGGAGATCAAAGACCAGTGGCCTAAGGATGCGGATGGTTTGACGCTCGACATCCACGAAACTGACACCCCTGGCGTCTTTGAGGCCGGATTCTATTTTGGGGTTCTGGAGGGTGCCATGATCATCTGTGCGAATGAGGAGGTCTTGAAGCGGTACCGCTCTGAGCTTGAGCGAGAGGAAGAGGGTGATTCTGAGGAGAAGGGCTTGACTGATAACAACTGGGATGAGAGTGGAGTCGAGGGAGATGGAAGCCCTGATCTGGGGGTGAAAAGAAAGATGCCAGTTTCTCGGGGTGGCCGCTCATCAAAGAAATCCAAACAGAGCCCTAGCCGCATATATCACCTGAAGTTGAGGGGCCGTGAGACGGGTGAGGGCGAGAGCTTTTGTGAACCAGATGATGGCAGGATCAAGTTCAAAGACGACAAGTTCGACATGTTCAAGGGGGAAGCCAACATGACGTTTATCGGTGATGGCATAGCCTTTACTGGACGCAAGGTCTCTGATACCCCTGGCTCTGGTGGAGGAGTCTGGGACGAGTACTCGTGGAGGCACCATGAGAATGCAAGAGTCGGCCGGTGGCACTAAGTCCCTTGATGAGGGTGCAGCTATCCAGAATCCGATGCTTTCTCATGTCAGATGGCTGTTGTTAATTGAAGAGTTATGTACATTGTCCACAAACGCATATAGTTGCGCAGACACAGACAACCTGCCATCGCCCGTTTTGTCCCATCCTCTGTTCGCTGAAGTAGTATAGATACCTCTAGGTGCGTGATAGCTTCCGGCGCTATCACGATAAATATCCCACACAGACAGAAATCGCACCATCTTCGCATTGTCTATGTGAACAGTCGGCTTTCTCGATGTCCATTTCCTACCTGTTGTAATCGGCCCCAAATTTCCAACCATGTGGGCCATACTTGTCATAGGGTCCCATAATGTACTAAAACTTATATCCAAACATAGATAGCGCGCCCGAGCCAATGTTTTGCAAATTTATGTCTGTATTCAGCATCGCTGCCTAGATTAGGCTCCTCCAGTCGAAGGCTCAAGGCAGTCGGACATCTCACCACCCAAGTGGGTACAGTGGGTCCCCGTCGCTTAGATCCGCAACCTTGATCATGTGAAATTGTGCAACGGCTGTGTACAACGACGGCTCATGACAACATTAAGCTCTACATTTCTCGAGATGAACATCCGACCCAACTAAACCGATCAAGAAAGGACAGAATCTCTTATCAACCTGTCCGTCCTTTGTGGCAGTCAACGCTGCACTTGCCTTTGGGGGCATCTCAGTCCTGCTTATTATTGAACACTAATTGTTAAGACCCGTGGTCCTAACTGACACCGGTGAGCTGACGCCTCTACACTTCCCACACTAGGGTCCTGGTCTCACGCAGGGTCCATGAACCCAGTGGTATTTCGGTATTTCCGCGACGTTGTGTAGGCTGTGATCGGTACATACGGAGTCCTCGATCGTATGTTGTTTCTAGGCGAGGTCCTTATCCGAATTCAAGCTTCACATCTCTGTAAAGACAGCTAGAAAGTACAGTGATCCAGGCAATCCATAGGCATGGCTATATTCCATGGGAACCTCATGCAGTAACTATGTAAGTCATAAATCATTTTCAAGACTGATGCCAGTACCCAGCCTAGATCACTTTCTGCTCAGTGCATTGTCTCTTCGAATCCCGCTGTGCATTTCCGCCAACATCCCCCTTCAGTGCCCTGCCCCTCTGCGTCCCACTTCCTGGCCCGTTCGCTACATGATGGGGGTGGTCATCACCACAATAGGTGCGGTTGCACCCCGGACCATCCTGGATGGGACATATGCGCTTCATATTGGACGGATAGTCGTCCGTGTCCCAACACATTTGGTGGTAAAAGGCCTGGATATGATCGACGCCGACCTTGAACCATCCGTGGTATTAGGGGGACTCTGGTGCCCCATCACGCGGGTCGTAGAGTAGGTCGATGGCTCTGACGAACACCTGTTCTTCGTCCCACCCCGTTGCCCGCCTGGCGGCTTGCGATGGGGCGGGGTTCGGCGACCGCGATAGCTGCTGCACCACCTCGTCGTCGATGAGCAGACAGACCTCGATCAGGACGCCCGGGACGAGCGGGGGGCGACTCCGCGAGAGGAGGATGCGATTTTGACAATGCCGCCGGATCTCGTCGATCGAGGGGGGTGCGACCCTCGGTCGCAAGAATTCGTACACGACCAGTCCCAGGCTCTCACGGACTTGCTGGGGCAAGCCGCGATCGGCCTCGTCGGTGTCGTTGACTTCGCAGTGGATGTATGTCTTCAGTAGATCGATGATCTCGTCTGAGAAAGCGGGGCATTCGTTTGAGAAAGGTGCGTAGTAGACGAAGAATCCCCACTTAGGATGCATTTGGATATTGGGGTCGAAGAGAAAGTCACCAGCCCAAACAACTATGTTGGAACTTTTATCGGGGTTGAGTCTGTGATGGTCATTTGCATGGAGTCAACCAGAGATAGAGGATTGAAGCTTCACGACAATGAGGGACTCGGTGGGTCATTGTTTTTTACGGAACTAGGTAACTAGTCAGTGCAGGTGGAGCAGAACATGTGCGGCAAAAATCAAGATCCACAACTCAGCCTTTGGGCTGACTACCTACTCACCAACAAATTATCGTTCTTGGTAATAAATGTTTGTAAGCCTTGGTTACCTTTTTAAAGAACTGTATTAGGAATTGCGAATAATGAACCATCTCTTTAGAAGTTGATCTTCGTAGTGTAGAAGTAAGACGATCGGGAAGGTTTCAAATCCGATAAAGAGAATGCCGTAGCTAAAAGCGATGAATGTTCAGGTTGATAAGGAAACCTGTCGGCTCCAGAAAGTAGAGTTGGAAAGGTCGGATCAGAGCTTGCAATGGATAAAAAGGGGATGCTCTCAGGAGAAAGACGCAACAGCATATGAGGACCTCTCGAGATATCTACAGCAGCTGCCAAACCGTCCATGTCAAACCCATGGCGGAGGGGGCAAAGCTGCCAATTCGAGGCCTCAGCAGAGACCGCAAAACAACTCCAGATCGTTTTCATATAGTCGCGCACTTGAGCATCCCAATTATCGCCTATGGATGTCGCCTCATTTCACCACGAAACATGCCAAAGTCTTCGATGTACATGCCCGAAAATCAAAGAACACGAGGAGGGTCCGGGTATCCAGGGAAATGGACATCCTCCTGATAATGGGCAGCTCCCCAAGCGGCGACCACACCATGAGTCTTGCTCAGCAATAATCAGTTGACGAGGGTCTCCTTAACGCCACTGTGGAAGGCAGTGGGTTGCCAACGTAGCTGCCACTTTATTGACGTGCGTCTGCTCGCCAACAGCGAGAATTGATGTAGATAGCAAGCCTGAAAGACACCAAAACCTGGACGCTTACGAAGAGCTTGCGGCCAGCGGCTCATTCTTGATGTTCTAGATGTGATGTGTGGCTGGCGGAGTTGGATGTTTGAAAGCTGGCTCCTATGAAAACAGCCGGGCCAAATCTGCCTCTTTGTCGTCGAAGTTTTCCACACCGACTACCATCGCCTGGCCATATAACGAATCGCATTTAAGCGAAACTTTGGCAGACAACAAATGCCTAGAACAGCCGGGCTAGTCCAGCCATACAAATCTTGCTGGATCGCCTTATTACGGCGCTCGTTCCAACACCTTTTTCTCCCCATACCAAATTCTCAAATGTTGTTATATCGAAGGGGTGAGAAATCACCCCTGAGTAGGGAAGAAATGGGTCAAAAGAAATCCCAGCTTCGTCAGCATGTCTCAGAATCTCTAGACGAGTATCACGCAAATGTCTATTTACACCTGTTAGATCTTATGAAAGATATAGGTTGCGCCTCTATTCATTCGGTTTACCACAAGGTGACAGGTACTAGGTAGGTAGGTATGCTGGTCGCATTGCCCGACCGGGGCGGGGCTGTGCCGATCAGTGCATACATAGTACAAAGTACAATCTGAAAGAGACCAGTCCATAAGGTTCAGTCTACTCCACAGAGTTGTCAAGCTCTGCATCTTCCCCTGGTAGGCGCTGCATAACACAGAGGCCAGGCCGATGGAGAAGTTTCTTCAAGATAGGGCAAGACCGGACCGAGCGGATTGAAATTGCCGACAGCCGTTGCGACCGGGTGGGTTTCCACGTTGTTTTCTAGAAGATACCATCTTTCCTTCATATTTACACTTATAAACAGAATCTTTAGGACATGTGACGAAGCACTCAAATCACCAGCGGAGACGCCGGAAATGCTCAAAGTCCGCCGGAAATAGCCAGAACCGCCCCGCGCAAGCTGTAAATCCGCTCCGTCTATTCGGATTTGATCCATTTTCCACGTAATCCATCTCTTACGGTGTCCCGCAGTTACTTCCTAGGAGCTGTTTAGGCAAGATCACATCTGCATGCTTACATCTGCATGCTTAGTAAATGCAAGATATACCAAATTCTCGGAAGCAGGTCTGCCGGCCCAGAGCGTCATTGCTCTTATCATTTAGTATAAAGCTGACAGCAACCTCTAAGAATGGTTGAATCGTCCATCGACCTACAGGGAATGAAAACCCCACAGAAGCCGACGCCGTCGCCATGATCTTCTCTGCTCTTACATCTTTGGTTCTCACGGGCATCTTCACCAGCACCGTCGGGGCGAGGGGAGGGGCCTTCAACTCTACCTCCAAATTGCTGACCGGTGGAACAGTGATTGCTTTCGATGCGGAGGCCGAGAGTATTCAAGTGATCCGAAACGGCTCCGTCTTGATTGTCGATGGCAGTATCGAGGCTGTCTACTCGGGACATTACAATGGCACCGTTCCTTCCAGCCTCGACATTGTGAATACCACGGGCGACATCATTACCCCCGGCTTTATCGACACGCACCGTCACAGCTGGCAAACCGCTTACAAGACCATCGCCTCCAATACCACCCTGGCCGAGTATTTCGATCGGTACGGAGAGTTTGCTGTGAATGGGGAGTATTCGGCCGAAGATGTCTACATCAGTCAGTTGGCTGGCCTGTACGAAGCGATGAATGCTGGGGTCACCACGATTCTAGACCATGCGCACCACACCTGGTCCAACGAGACCACCGACGCGGGTTTGGCTGCCACCATTGACAGTGGTGCTCGGATGTTCTGGTGCTATACCTTCCACAATGTGACTAATTTCACTTTTGCCGAGCAAGTGAACAACTTCGAGGAAATCGCCAGCAGCGGCCGCTTCGATGGCACGGTCACCAGCCTCGGGATCGCCTACGATGGTTTCAACCCCGGTAGTCCAGCCCAAACCGAAAGAGTCATTGAGTTGGCCAGGTATGTCTTTTCTTACCTGTAGTCAGATCAAAGCTTGCAAGGTTCATCAATAACCGAGGTATTTTCTCTAGAAAGTATAACGTCTCCGCCATCACCACTCACTCCCTGCAGGGTATCTGGGGAGGTATATTGCCCTATTTGAGATTACAGTGTAAATGAATCTGCTTGCTAATCAAGTCCGCTTATAGCCATCAATTCGCCGGAGGATCTCAATGCCCTAGGGATCTTAAACACCACCATTCCCGTAGTCTTCTCGCACGCAAGTTTCTTGACCGGCGAGGGTGCATCCTTGTTGCGCAGCACGAACCAGTATATTTCCATCACACCCGAATCAGAGATGCACTACGGCCACGATCATCCCCGCAGCCACCTGATTCAAGACCAAACCGCCTTGGGGGTCGACACGCACTTCACCTACTCGACCGACATCCTAACGCAGGCACGGCTCTGGCTCCAGAGCGCCCGCGTCGCCTTCTACCGCTGGGTGCTGCAGAACTGGAACATTCCGGCCAACAGCCCCATGTCCGTCGACCAGGCGTTCCTGCTGGCTACGCGCAAGGGCGGCCTTGCCCTGCGCCGACCCGACCTTGGGATCATCGCTCCCGGGGCCAAGGCTGACGTGGTCGTCTGGGACGGTAACACCCCAGGTATGCTCGGCTGGGACGACCCCGTGGCGGCCATCATCCTGCACGCCAACGTGGGCGACATCAAGCATGTGCTTGTTGACGGGGACTTTAAGAAACGCGACGGGAAAATCGTCAGCAGCACTTACCCTGCCGTACGGGACCGCTTCCTGGCCACCGCGAGGAAGATCCAGGCGATCTGGAAAGCCAAGCCCTACCCCGTTTTGGAGGGCGATTTCCCGGAGTCGGGCTTCGCGTACGGTCGGGTTCCGTTGGCCGATACGCAGCGTGGTGAGGGTAATGGCTACGGAGAGCAATTTTTGTGAGTGACTTGCTAGGTCCTGGGTATAATGAAAAGGTCAGTCAGCGTGTAGGGTGCCGGTATGGCTGTGGGTGGCTATGGGGGGAGTGTTATAGGTCTTTCTGTATTGCAAAAGAATGTAAAATAAATCTCATCAGGAGCCCTTATGGGATTGACACTGGAGAGTTTGGCACCCATCGATGGTGTATGATTTGTCCTCGGCGCGAGTCCACGGTCTACTCCAGCGCTGGTTGTTTGGTAATTCAGTATTCAACTCCTATGATCCTTCTCTCACAAAAGAAGCCCAGATCTTGGTCTGAGTCAATTATAATGCTTGTAGCTCAGATTGCGTTCCGTTAATCCCACCACTGTATTGGGGAGACAAAACATAGAGCAGTCAATCTTCGAAACTGCACCAATACAAGAGTCAGTTTTGGTTTAGGGGACATTCATGATTCTCTCGTCGAGGGAGTCGGAAGAAACGGACTCACGTCTCCGAATGTACCCAAAGATGAGTTTAGGAAATCTTCAGCTTGTCTGCGAGTGTACCAGCACAAGGTATACCGTGAGTGCAAGGGGCCATTATAGGTATATCTCACTTCAATTGTACTGTATATATCCCATGTACACATTACCCCGACGTGTAACCCTTACATAGGTATTCTCGCCATCTCCTCCTTCGTCCAGTACCGTCGCATATTTTCCGCCCCGAGCGTCTTGACCTCCTGATCGAGATGTGTCCAGAGCACCTCCCTCCATCCTTCCATCTTGCCCCGCAACACATGCAGTCGGAGCTCTTCGTCCCCTCGCAGACAGCTCTTCAGATACTCCTGGAACCCTTCCAGCCCGACATGGATTTCCCGATGTTGCCGCAAGAGCTCGGCTGCTTGCCGACCACGCCCCATGCGGAACTCAGGCATTCTTTTCGCCAGGTAGGGGAAGATCCGCGTCTCTTCGATGTCGTGGTGGATCTCGAGGTGCTCGGCGAAGCGCAGCCCCTCGCTGAGGAATTGTCGCATGCTGATGTGTGCTGGTCGTCGGCCACTGGTTGCAGCTTCCCACAGGATGTTCCACGAGCGACGCAGGAATTCATGCTGAAAGAAGTCGCACAGATATGTTAATGATGACCTATTACTCCCTGCAGCAAAAAAGAAAAAGAAAAAAAAGCAGACAAAAGGGCGGTGGGGAAAGAAGAAAAAGCTTACAAAGTAGTCCATGTGTTCGGCCGCACGATTGTACACCTTGAACTCTTCCGCAGACAGGGGCGGATAGTCTTGTGTCTCGATAGCCATGGTAGGAGCTGTCTCCGCCGGGCTATGCGTAGTCAGTCTGAACAATTGTGGTGTTCCAGCCGTGACAATAGGACGGACACTATCTTTCAACATGGGGAAGCGTTGAAGAGGTCTGCAAAATTGATGGACGAGGGCAGCTAGGATAACATTAACTACCACGACGACACGACGAACTAATACCATGACCGCGGCGTGGGCGAAAGACGTTCAGAGTCCTTACCTTATCTTGTATACGAGGCTCAGTACACACGCCACCCTCTCCATCCTTCGGGCGCTGGTCAAGATAGCGTTATTTTTCAGCATTTATCAGCAGAAAAGAAAAGATGAGTGAAGCCGAGAGAGATTCTACACGTAAGTCCGCAACCCTGGCCGGATAGCGGATTTGCGGACGGAATTAACTGGTCTGGGCCTCATACGCGGATCATGACATAATCTCCAACCATGAGTCCAAACTGCTCGGATCCACTATACTATGTTAATTACTAGGTGGCTACGCAAGGTTCATTCATGTGTTGACCTTTGTTTATGGATAAGCATCCGAACTATTTATACAGGGGTGCTCCTTATCCCAGGAACACTTAGCCGTTTCCTGTCAGCGCATCATCACCCTCACCAGTCCTGATTTCTCTAGCAAATCATCCTTTTGTTGCTCCTCACCATGGCGCCACGGGTTGCTATCGTTTTTGTGAGTGTGTTTCCTTTCCCAGGTCTGACCTTCGAGTTCTGACCTAGATCGCTGGATAGTACTCCATGTACGGCCACATCGAGAAATTAGCTCGGGCGGAATTGAAAGGAATTCAGGCGGCCGGGGGCTATGCCGACCTTTACCAGTAAGGCCTTGGCGACTGATTCTTTGTCGAAGCCTTCCATAGGATGCTAAGTCAACATCATCAGGATCGAAGAGACGCTGCCAGCTGAGGTTCTGGCCAAAATGCACGCTCCCCCCAAGTCATCTATCCCTGTGATCAAACCGGAGCAACTAGTCGAGTATGATGCGGTTCTCTTCGGTATTCCCACGCGTTTCGGGAACTTTCCTGCGCAGTGGAGGGCTTTCTGGGATCGCACGGGCGGCATTTGGGCGACAGGCGGTTACTGGGGCAAGTATGCCGGCCTGTTTGTCAGCACCGGCACCCAGGGCGGTGGTCAAGAGTCCACTGCTCTGGCGGCCATGAGTACCCTAGCCCACCATGGCTTCATATATGTACCCCTCGGCTACAAAACGGCATTCCCCCTCCTCACCAACCTTCAAGAGGTCCATGGTGGAAGCGCCTGGGGTGCTGGTACTTTTAGTGTTTGTGCCTCCGCCTTCTTCCTTCTTTCGCCCGTTCACGCCACAGCTAATATGTCTCTTTGCTGCAGGATGCGGATGGATCCCGCCAGCCTAGTGAGCTGGAGCTCTCGATTGCCGAGACACAAGGGAGATCGTTCTATGAGCATGTTTCCCGTCTCAACTCCACTTGACTATATGATAGCTCGCACACAGAGACGCCAGTGGTGGGGCCAGATCCGCCAGGTCACACAGTATCACAAGAAGCCATGCAGCCCATACAGCTTCACGAAAAAACTTCGGTTTATCGTACCATGTCCGGAGATACCAACGAGGGACCATGCGGCCTCCCTAACAAATGTATCATGTCATAATATTTCTGTTTGTTCTCGTAGTACATAGCGGGCCGAGGGGGTAAGTTACAGTGGTTGTACTACAGTTTTCTCCGGTTATATAGAGGTTTCATAAAGTTGTATAAAATTCTTACTAATTATAAGCCCTTCAAATCTAGGCATACTAATCTTTATGTAAATAATAGATTATACTAAAACTATATTTTTTTAACTAGATCTAAAGTAGTTTTTATACTATTTTACTATAATAATATACTTTAATCTTAGAGTTATACTAACTGTTGTATTTTTTATTTATACTTATTTATAATAGTAACTTAAACTGTTAATATAACTGTTCTACTCTGTGAACTGAGGTATAAGTAAGTATAACCTTATCTAAATCTTACTAAAAATAGGTATAATCTCATCCAAACCTTACTAAAAATAGGAGTATTACCTTATTAAAATCTTACTTTACCATTTACTTTTTTCTTAATATGGTTTTTCTAATTTCTTATACATATAATTATTTACTGGAGGATAAAATCTCTTCTTTATATAACATATCTCAACTTCTACATTTTTTTTTTATATAATACATCTCAACTTTTTTACTTTTTACTACTTATCTTTTTATTCTCTATAACAATCTTTCTCCACCTTTTTATTCTCTGTACTAATCTTTTTATTTTTTAAAACATATTCTAAAGTCTGTATTTTCTGTATTTTTAATATTTTTAATATCTACCTTCTTTTATCTGCAAGCAAGGTAAGTAAAACTAAGTTTCAGCTTCTATTTCAGCTTTAAAACTAAGATTTTAATACCTTTTTATAAGCAGTTCTTAAAATTACAGAGCAACGCCCAGTAATCTTTTATAATATATAGTAATACTTCTTCTTTTTTACACCTAGCAACCTTTTATAATATACAGCAATACTTCTTTTTTTCTATTATGATATACAGTAATCTTCTGTAATATACAGCGACCCCCTGCAACATCCAGTAATATAGCTAGACTATACAGTAAGTCAACCTGTCTATTAGATATATATAAAGAGCTTTTAGATAATATATATTTAAATAACAGCAATAGGGACGAAAATAAGTAAGCAACAGAACTTAATCTTAAAAAAAAATATACAGGGTTATAGAAGATATTGTGCTTAACTTTATATAAATTATAGCTTAACTAGCTGAAGTTACTATTAGTTAAGCCATATTAGATTAAACTGTAGGACAACTGCTTAAAATATATAAAAAGAAAGAGAAAAGGCGTCTTACTAAAGACAGTATAAAAGTATCTAATCTATAGTAAGATAGGCAGGCAGTAATAATTCTTAATACTTATCTTAAATAAAAAAAGCTGGGATGAAGCTGACTATCTTACTTACTTTTTATAGGCAGTAAAGCATACTAATAAAATAAATCATAAAAGTGTTTTCTTCCGGCGGAATATAAGCAACAAGAAAAAAAAAAAGACTGTTTAGAAGATCTATACTATTCTTATTATAATATACTTACCCAGTTAAATCAGCTAAAAGTCAGAAGGAACCTCTGTCTTTGGAACTGTTCGCTTCGGAGATAAGCAAAATAATTAAGAATATTAGGTATTAGACTAATATAAAAAACCCCTATAGCAGACACAAACCTGTATAAGATTAGAAAGTCAGATTGTTATATTAAAAAGAAGAGAAAGACGAATACAGGGGAGGTAGCAATAAAGCTATTAAACAATATAAAAGACTTAGAAACTGGAGTTTCTAAATTAGATCTTAGTAAGAACAAGCCCCAGTAGCAAGCTAAGGCTCTAAGCAGAAAAAGGCGGCTTAGACTGTCTTGTAAATTAAATATCTACAATCCGACTGAGCCTTTCTGACTAGCAGTAAAGATTAATTAAGTACTAATACTAAGCAAGCTAAAAGATATTCCTAAAGCTGAAAGACTAATCAAAAAGATAAATAAAAGTAAAAAGGGTAAGAATAGCATTAAGAAGTTTGCTAAAAATATTAAAAATAATATTTTTAAAGTATTAAAGTACTTAGTTATATCCGATTTTAAAGCTCCACTGACAATAAGTAAGAAAAATAACCTAATAGAAATTATTTCTAAAAAGCTTAAGAAGCTGGAGCAAATCCAGCAGTCTATTAATAATCTTAACTATTAAAGAAAGAACCACAACAAAGCCTGCTAAAACCTTGGGATTAAAAATCTGGTATGTCTATATTTACTGGGTATAGTTACATCTGCAGTACTAAAATTCTGGCAACCTATTAGAATTTAAACTATTATTAAAATTATAATTCAGAAAGTGGTATAAAAAGTATTACTAGCTAATACAGTTAGGCTGGGGAAGATATAGCAATCTGTTAGTATTATTCTTACAGTAAGTAATTAAAAAGACCTTAGTATTAGGCTTTTATAACTAACCCCTAGAAGTATATAGTATATTTTAAAAAAAAAACTAAGTCTGGGGACAAACTTACTGTAAAGAGGCTAAAAAAGCTGATTCTGGTGCTGGTACTACTATATTTTATCTACTAATAGCAGACCAAGATTCTAAGTATTACAAAGCAGTTAATACTGTATATATACTATAGAGAAACACAAAGCTGGAAGAATATTAGATAGATTAATAATAAGCTAACAGCTAACTATAAAATCTTTACTAAATAAAAGCAACATCCAACAGTTGTATTAAGCAGTTATAATATATTTAAAAACCGCTATAGTGTTTTAGATATTAAAACCTGGTATATATATAAATATAAAAGTAAGTTTCAGAGTGGAGAAAATTGCCTAAAGAACTATTCTAATAATATTAAAGATTATTTTAGGCTTATTATTCTAAATAAGGCCTATAACCTGTATAATAAAATATTAGGAATATCCTAGGCTGTATAGTAGGCTAGAGGCGACTTTAATCTTCTACTTACAGTAATACCTTTTTTTAACAACTGTAACAGTGATTTTATTAGGTACTTATAATTACTTTTTAAAAGATGTTTAATATTTAAGGTAATAGGACCGGCAACTGTAAAAAAGGCCCTAACTATATTTCCAGATACTTATTATACAAATCTTATTCTCAGCAAAGTTTTCCTCGAAAGGCATATTATTCGTACAGATCTAGATAAAAAAATGTAATCAGTACGGTTTTGTGTTTTTTTAAAATATTTAATAATCCAAAGGACTCTTACGTCTGCAATCCTATTTAAAAGTAGCTGGATAATTGGTAAGAATATCCCCCCTGCAGTATATAAAGTGTTTAATACAGAGTTTAATCCTAAGAAATAAAAAGCCTATAAAACTTACTGGATTAAAAATCACTGTATTATAGTACTAGACCAGTTAGACAGAGAAAATCCACAGTACCGGTAGGCTATAGTATGTTTTTATTAGTTAGTCTTAGAAGCCTTATAGCTTAGTATGATTCTGCTTAAACCAATTTTTCTAAAGGCAGATTTTTTTAAAGCAGTTAATTTACAAAAGAGATGCAAGCTGGTACCTAGGTAGATACAGTACTTATAAAAATAGATATAAGTTAAAAATACTGCTGCTGTTAAGATATTCTATACGCACTCTAAACCTCAGCAGAAAAGTAGAAATAATCTATAAGTAGATACAGAGCAACTAGCTATACTTATCTAAAAAGCACTAAAAATGCAAGTTATACTGGGAGTTCTGTATATATTAATATAGTTTAAAAAGGAGAAGTTAATTGTATGAATACAGTTTCTAAGGGAAGAGCTTTATATCCTAGCAACTTTATAAGAGGCTGGATTTAATATAGAGATAATCCACAGTAGTCTGGCAGTAAGAAAAAGAGCTAATATTATTATATACTTTATAAAAAAGCCTAAGAAATATATAATTCTGATTATATTCTTTTAACTTAACTTAACCAGTCTTAATCTTCAGAGATTTTGCTGGAATATATATTTTTTTGGTATACTGCTGTCACACGCCTAAGAAGAATAGGCTATAGGGTATTTTTAGCAGTTAGATTAAAAAAAGATTGTTTACATCTTTAAGTATTGTATTCTTAGTATATTTTAGATGGTATTAAACAACCGGTCAAGCAATAAAGCTCTTCCTGGCTTAATAGTTAAACTGTCGGGGTCTTTAGCATTAATTCTGGATTCTGAAAAAGAAGGTGTCAGTGCGCTTAAAATTATTATAAAAAATAGTAAAATAGTATACCTTAAAAATAGAATATCCTCTAAAAAGGGTGATATTACCGACCCTAAACAAGTTTTTAAGGCCTTCACTCTTTTACTTAAAGATATAGCTTTTGAAGACTCTAGAAATACCAAAAAGCAAAATCCACAAAAAAAGATAAAGAAAAATAATAAGGCCGGAGCAAAAGCTGCTAATACTAAAGAAAAGGGCGCTGATATTAGAAAAAAGGATACTACTACTAAAAAAAAGACTGCTGATACTAAAGGAAAGAATACTAGTAATATTAAAAAGACTGCTGCTGCTGGAGGAGAGAATACTAAATAGATTACTAAAAATATATCCAGACAAATTGCTTTTTAAAAGGCATTTAAATTAGCTTAATCCAAGTCCCCCCTGGTTTATTAATTTATTTAAAGAAAAAATATATTAGCCTAATACACACCCTTCCTAATAGAGATAAGCTTCTAAAATGTGGCAACTTATTATATATAGAATATATTTTAGATAAGTATATATATATATTATAAAAAATAAAATTATACTACAAAATCTAAAAAGTTATATAACCAGAAACACAAGATACAAAACAAACACGTAAGGATTAGAATTCAAATAATTTTCTAATATTGACTGGGCTTGTTTTAAATCCGACTTAGTATACTAATAAGTAGATCAGATTCTAAAAAAGAAAATAAATACCAGAAAGAGACAGCCTAACTACCAGAGTCTATTGTATAATAAAATAGGTATATCTTGCTTATTTTAATATTATATTCTATACTAAGATTAGTTTAGATTTTGAATTATAATCATCAGTTAATACTGTATATATAGATAATTCTTAGAAGTTAGAATATATACAGGTATATAATATTTGTTAATATTTAGCTGAACAGTATATAATACTAATTAGTTATAACAGCCAGAAAGAAGATCTGATCTAAGAGGCGCTTAAAGTCAGCCAGTATTATAAAAAATAAAAAGACAGAAGACTGCTCCTACTTATATTTTTAATAAAAAGTCTACTTAAAATAGTCTTTAAATTATAAGACCTTTAAAAAAGCTTAATCTGTATAAATTATCTCAACCTTAGTAGCAAAATCAGTTTTTAGGATCTGCAGCAGAGATTTAAAATTCTTTAATTATATTATAACCTGCTTCCCAGCGTATATTACAATAAATTAAAAGAACAGAGAATCTTTAGGGGACAACTTAATTAAGTCTGGTATTATCTGGTTTTGGACTAATAAAATACTTATTACTAGGTCCAGAGTCTCTGTATCTTTTTTCTGATTATCAGAAAGACTCCTCTAAACTTTTAGAAATAAAAAGTTAGAAACTTTAATATTTTATTTAGAATATTTAAATATCTAAGGCTGGTCACAATTCTGTTCCTTTTAAAAATAATTCTTTATCTTTATTCTAGTTTAAGTCAGATTTTATTACTTAGATTCCAACCTTTTTATTAAGACCTAAGAGCCACAACCAACAACAATTAAAGAATTCCAAAGCTTGGACTAAGTTAATACAATTTGCTTACCAGCAGTTTTTTTTAGATTTTAATAATTCCCAACTTCAGTAGCTAATAGAGACAATATTTAAAGGATTAAAACCAAGCCATTTAATATACCAAAAGGCAGAAAAACAAATTTGGAAACTGTTTAAAATATAAAAATTCTAAATCTTATATTTTATAAAGTAATAAGCTTATAAGTAGCTTAACTGTCTGTCTCCAAAGCAGAAAAACTATATTAAAAGATACAGTGATTTTAACTAACTATACCAGGTATTTAATTTAACCTATAAAATTTACTGGTCAGCAGACATTTTTATCTGAATATAAAAAATAGTTTCTATTAATAATTATTTAGAATTAGAATAAAAATGGTTTAAATACAAGTCTAAAAATCTCTAATCTTCTTATTATAAATCGACTAATTAGATTTTTAGATAGTATACTTTAACTTATAAT